TTTCTGCATCACAATGAAGCATCTTGTAGTTTGAGCCTGAGTGCAGTGATCCTGTGTGTTTGCATTTGTGATCTTTATTTGTGATTAAACCGACACCGATAGAATTCACATTGCTGCTTTGTAATTGATATGAACTATTTTACATACGACACTGTAGTTTACATAACACTTAACGCTGTCTTATAAGTTGTTACCTTATTTCAAGAATGTTTTTAATATGAATTAATGATGTATGTAGATAAACCAGACTTGCAGTGATGGTTTTTCAAATGAGATGTTAATGGAAACATTGATCTGATACATTGTTGTCTTGAATATCATGTTAAAGAAAATGTTCCACTCATTATGCTATTTACCCCTTTCTAAAACTAAAATAAAAAAATGAATTACTCTATGCTGCAGAGAGGCTTGCTTCACACGTTGATAGTTGGTACTAGAACAATAAATCAAGCAAACACAAAAGCTTTCAGTGCAGTTTATTTGGGCTGAATCAACACTGTCTTCCATTAACAACGACCGGCTGCAACCTAACAGGATTTAATATGCATGGAGGTATCACTAAACTGTATGAAAAGAGGACAACAGAAGAAAAATACTGGCCTCCTTCTTATTGACATAGCATTGGATTAAATACTTTATTTTTTGTTTAAAAATGGAGTATCATTAATAACTGCAGAGTGCTAGATGAGAGATGGTCTAGATAATGGAAACAAGACAAGAGAGAGGGGGGAAAGAAAAAAGGCCTGGGGAGCTAATAAACACTGTGAGGTTTTTCTCTCTCCCTCATGCACTCTCCAAGGCAAGAATCTGTTTTATTTCAATCAGTCTTTTATCTTACCATGCAATCACAATGCAAAGGTGGGGAAATAGGCAAAGTGGGGGGGGGGGGGGGTGGGAAATGTGTCTATTTCTGTCTTTCAGTGTTAGAGGAATAGAAGCTCTCCTCTTTTTCTGTGGAGTATTCTTCGCTTACATATAACAAGGGTGTGTTATGCCTGCAGACTATACACAGTAACACATGGTGTAAACATGTATCATTGGAAAGCATTGCAGGCTAAAATGATCCTCTATTTGTCCTACACTCCTTTTAATTGCTTAATGTTGTATATCATATAAGAAATGGTTTGGTGTTCGTTGTTCGATTTTCTGCATTTGAGTTGTTGCATCCAGAATGTTCCTGTTAACTCTTGATAAATTGCGTTACTTTTTTTAAACAACATGCTGGTATAGAAACATTAAGGAACTGAAGAGGTAGTATTGATCATATTTTCATTCATCTGTGTTGAAATATGCATTTTAATGTATTCATAATGGCCATCTTCCTCAATATATCTTTTTTTTTTTTTTTTATCCATGCTGTATCCTCTTGCATTATTTGCTACTGCAATGTCCCTGTATTCCCACTGGGGCCATTAAAGTTTAATTTTTACCATATCTCATGTGAAAGGTAAACAGACTAATTACGCAGGTTGATCACAGCTGAGCAGTGATACAGTGTAGGGGACATGCCACAGGAGCACATCAAAACCCAGCATGGGGAAATCAGCTCTCTCTCTGGGGAGAGGGTGCTGGCTTCTGCAAGTCTGTGGCTACAGGTGCAACAGAAGCAAATATTCATAAGGCCCTGTTTTCTCTGCAGATGCACTACATATGCTCCCACACTCACTAATTTGAAACAAGGACAGTAAATCTGTATATCTGTTTATATTTAAGATTCAAACTTTGACGCCTTACTGCACATTTATTCTTTATTTTTACTTACTCGTTTTTATTATTATCTTACTTTATCATTGATTTTATTGCTCGGGACTGGAGAACTGCATTTCGTTCCTTTCTCATGTACCCATGTTTCTGGAATGACAATAAATGAACCTTGAACCTTGAATCAAAACATCAATCTTTTTTTATTCCAGCTCTCACTGCCCACCATACCCACATGTAGGACTTCTTTATGGTTCCTGCTCTACCACATGGCCATTACAGCACAAACAGTTGCGACCTTCAACAGACCGAGGCTACACACTGTACATGTGAGCTCCAGGTACTGATAACGCTGATACTGCCTGTACCCTGCCACATGGCCCCTAATGACCACATCCAGAACATGAAGACAAATGGACACTGAAAACTAGATCGTCAACAGGGTTATCAAGTGGGTGCCTTCCTTTAACAGTTAGGCCCAAGACACCCTGGGGAGGCTTATCAGTATGCTCCTGTGTCCGGGAACCAGCCCACGTCATGCCATGTTCTTACTGAGCATCCTACCCACACGAGAAAGGAGGGAAGAGAAAAACAGAAAAAAAAGAAATGAGACCGAAAGACGACATGGAGGGCATAGTCAGGACCTGATTGGGCGAGCGGTCACCCCCACTGGGTTAAGTGCATGCTCTACCTTCTGCCAACAAGAGAGGAGAGAGAGAAAAAAAAGGTGATGACTGGCAAGTGGGCAGCCATCTGCCACAATCTGATCGACCCTTGAAGGATAAAGGGACACACAGAAAGACAGATATTTAATAAATGACTGCTTACAAAGAGTTTATTGATACATTATAATAGTTTATGTACCCACATGTTTGATTAAAACGTATATTAAACACCATTAGAGTTGTTGAACAGACATTATGGGAGTCTGTCCTGAAGGCTGTGTGCTGCTTCCGTGTGGTGAAGCCTTCTGGCAGCTGTCGAGAGCTGTACACCCACAACACTTTGTTCTGTCAGTACTGTTAAGGATCAATAGTAACAAGCTGTTCAGTAGAAGTGCTGTTACTGATAGTATTAGCCCGGGGCTCAGGGTTTATCCACTTTCTAGCGTTGTTGTTTGAAAGTGGATGAACTAGATCGTCAACAGGGTTATCAGGCAGATTTGGTATTTGAAATATATGAGATTGTCTTTCTCTTATCAAGGCAATGCTATACATCGTTGTTATCTCGAAACAATTCTGTCAAAAAAGAAAGTCTTAAAGATGCTCTGGTGCTGCCATAAACCCTGTAGATGGCGTTGAACTTTCTAAAGATCACTTGTCACAGTGCTGCAGGAAACTTCCCTGAGGTGAGCCGTGGGTGACAGCTGCTGCCTCTCCACTGGCTCAGGTAAATGCCAATATGCCCCACTTGGATACACAGGCTTGCTGAAACACAAACGCGCGCACACACACACACACACACACACACACACACACACACACACACACACACACACACACACACACACACACACACACAGCAGCCTCTTAAAAGAGCCTAAAAGGGACCAAAGTAGGCAAAGCGGTAGTCTAACTGTCCCCACAGAGAATAGAAACAAATGACACAGAATTAATTTATGCTCGCATACATACAAAGACACCGGATAACACAATGATTAGGACAAAGTCATCCTCTGATTGTTCAGTTGAAACAGACCAATAAAAAACGTGGTGATTGTGTTTCTTCCAAGAAAATGGATAGAGCAAAAAAAACAATTGTGAGACAATGGCATAAAGCAGCATTATCACAACATAAAAGATGAAAATTCTTTGTTTTGTTTTTGTTTGTCTGTTCGTCTCTTTGCATGTCTAAATATGAAGTATTATTATTGAGTGTTTTTTTTCTTTCTGTGACACAGGAACAAAACAATCAATGCAACAAAAAGATCATGAAAAATGCGCACGCACACACACACACACACACACACACACACACACACACACACACACACACACACACACACACACACGTTCATTAAAACAGTTCGTGATCTTTTTGTAGAAGGTTTGCAGCTCAGCAGAGTGACCCTGTTGAGTCAGTGTTGATTAGAGGCACAATATTGAATTTGTGCATCGATCCTCTCTCATTGCTTTGATTGGTTTGCAATAGATCTATGCTCTAATTAAGAGGACACAAATATTGAATCCCATTTGAATAACTCCTTAACAGTAATTTTCCTCTGCTCAAGGGTCTTCTAGCATCTCTTAGAGATCTGTTCTTATTTCATCTGAAAATCATCTGGTTTCTTATTGAGCTGCACTACTGACTAGGACCACCAGGGGTCTGTAGAGTTAAAGGGATGTATTCCATGTTTCAAAACCAGAACCCAAATAAAGACGGCACCTCCTGTTTTCTGCTCTTTTCTTTGTTACAGGAAGTACATATGTGGCTCTTGCCATGGTCACTAAACCTCTAATGTGCTGTCCCATTGTCAACCACACACACACACACACACACACACACACACACACACACACACACACACACACACACACACACACACACACACACGCTAAAGCAGCACCAGCAGGCTCCTAAACAGCAGCTTTAGTTACACTGTCACCATGCAGAGAGCAGCCAGAGGACGCAAAGAGACATCATTTCAGAACAAAAGAAAATGAACATTATATCACTAATACATTTCTTAATGCAGAAAATAAGAAAGTATACATGCAGGCATAACCCAGTTTAGCAACTGTAAAGGTCACAGGTCAGTTCATCACCCACCTGTTGTGTTTTGAGTTTCATGAACATGCTTCCCAGAAGCTGTAAAGGTTTGTTATGAGTAGTCGTTGGCATGTGGAAAGTCTTTAAAATCAGGGGACACTCTTTCTACTTTAACAGACATGTGACAGCCACTTAAACACGTATGCACGTTAGCAGACCAATTTAGCAGTGTTGTAAATACCTCGTTGGCATTATAGGTCACCGGGTACCTCGAACAACTACTCTATTTTGTGTCATTTCTATCTTAAAACCCCACTTTTACCTTGTGAATGCCTGCTGCATCCATAAGTGTAGGTCTGCTGTCAGTGTTGCATTTATGCATTACACTCAGACTGCAATAACATATTGATCAATGCATGAAAAGCTTTTAATTCTACTGGAGGGATAAATTATGAGTGAAGGCATTTAATGAGGCTTGGAGGATTTCTTTAATCATGCTCCATGAAAAGCTATTCTCATCCTGTTTTTTTCATTGGTGATGATAATATGATACCTCTCTTACTAACCATATGTTCTTCTGTATTTTTCAGTAAAGCGGAAGCAGCAGCTATTGAGACAGAGCTAGTGAAGGAATACAGGTTTGGACATCAGCAGCTGATAGAGATCTGGGGTCAAGCATGTGCCCTCGCAATCACTAAGGTCAGCAAATCTTTCTTTTTTGTCCCTCTTTATGTTTTTTTTTTCTTTGCTTTCTTGTCTAGCATAATATACTACAATTATGGAGCAGGACACAGTCTAGGCCTTTTTCTCGTCTTTCTTGTTTGATTCATTCATAATCCTTCACCCTTTATATCCATTAACATATATTATCACAATAAACAAAAGCTGGGACAAATAACATCATTCCAGTATGTTTTTATTGCATTTATGTATTTATTGTGAAATGGGCCCCTAGCTTGAACATCCTGTTATGCTTTCAAAGCCCAGTTCTTTAGACCATTAAACCAGTAGCACTAAAAAATAAACAGAATTTGTAATGCACTGGGTATGTGTCTGTGTTTAGTCTGCATAGCTGTGCTGTAAAACTTACAGCCTTTTTTATTTTGCACATAGTTTGTGACTATGAGTAGAACATTTGAGGTTACACTTTTCAACATTGTTAAAGAAAATGTAAGCAGTTTCTTACCAATGAGTTAGGAACAAATGAGGACCTACTTGGAATTAGTATTATATTTTTTATAATCTTAAATTAATGAATAGTTTGAAGTATCTACAAATCAGGAAAACTGTCACAATATGGAACATAACATTATGAGCTGTACATACGGTAAGGAGCAATTAAGGTACAAGACTTGAAGAAAGTTAGCATGGGGACCAGAGGAATCAGTGAGGTCATGTTTTAGAGGGTCAGACACCCTCCAGTTAAGACAGATTTTCTGTTCTAAAAAAGCCAATCACAATCAGTTATTAAGATAAGAGTAAGCCAAGTCTACTACCACTGATTTGGAAAAATGTTAAGGAATCAACACCACTATCATATCATGCCAACCAGTTGTTTCTTATAATGAAACAGAAGCCTGTTGAATTGGATCTCCAAACAGGCCCCCAGCCTAGTTTTTAACTGCCATGTTTTGTTGCTCATGTTGGTTGTAGCATCAAAAGGGTTTCCAGTCTGCTCTAATTAATTACCCCTCTCAAAGGCAAAATCACATTCATGAATTGATCTGGTGATGATAGGCTGGATGAAAGTGGTTTTTAAATCAAATTAACAGATAACTCTAAACTAATTATCTCAAACTTTTCAGTTATATATCAGGCTGTTCTTCAACAACTTAAAGGCTATTTATATACCATAAAGTGTTTGATACAATGTTATCTGATAAATATAATGATTCTTTATTGTTAAGGTTGTTCCTGTTTCAATAGTCACTAATTTCTCAATTACCGGTACTGTTCTTTACAAAACAGCAATTTAAATCTCAATTTTTTTTTTCAAATGGCCTGAACCAAACCACTACTTTGCAGATCCAATTAATAGCCTGCCCCTTTGTGTCACTCGCAAAACCTTTTCTCAAGGTCACTAAATTAATTCCTTTAAAAAAACTCCCTTTATTCTATTACATGTAACCTCAGTAATCACTATACACCTCCTGCTGTGACTGCTGGAATGTACAAGAGGTTGAAAAGTCACAGCTGCTGCTACTTTTAGTTTCCTCATTTGCATTTTCTTCCACACAAAATATCATATTTTAATTTTGAGGAACTTTCTGTGACATTTACTTCCAAACATTTGAGCGGCTCACCTCCGTGCAGAACACCTGAGCTCACTGGTCCACAGTGATCCACCGCCAAAGGCTCAAAACCACAACTCTTCTTCTCCATGCTCTGGACTGTGTCAAGCTGTGTGTGTATGTGTGTGTGTGTGTGTGTGTGTGTGTGTGTGTGTGTGTGTGTGTGTGTGTGTGTGTGTGTGTGTGTGTGTGTGTGTGTGTGTGTGTGTGTGTGTGTGTGTGTGTGTGTGTTTGGAGGGCTGCTGGAAACACATGTGATTCCCTTTGACTTGACCACTGGCTTGGGTGAATGCCACACTGAGGAAACCTCAGCAGGCTCTTCAGCATGCTGTGATGAATAAGAGTCTGAACCAAAAGACACATAAAACTTTGTGTTGAAGGAGAGATGAGGAGACAAAGACAACGATGACGAAAGACAGAAGCAAAAACACATATAAGTGTTTTACAGGAAAAAGTTACCGAAACACATCCAGAAAAGTTATTACAACACCTTGACTAGCTCCCAGTTAAAAAAAACATTGAACAATCGTGAAAATAAAATAAAATTACATAGGCTATGTAAAGATGAAAAAATGCTAAAAGACATACAAGAAAGAAAGAGGAAACACTTTTTTGACAATGCGAACAAAATAAGATAGCTACAGTAGTAACAAACTTAAAAAAAAAAAATACTGACCTAAAGATAACTGTATGTCAAAAGTATTCAGTTTTTTTATGGGAGCGGCTGAAACAATGTGTGAGCATGTAAAAATATAATCTCTTTTTTATTTTATATGGAAAGCTTTTTAGCAAAAAGTAGTTTTTTATTAATTAAAAAAAAAACATCTGTCTATTACATAACTCACTGTTTTAGCTCTGATTTTGGTCTCCACCTCTGATTTTCTTACTGGTAAAAGACACAACCTATTCACCTGCATTAACTAAGTGTATTGTTCTGTTGATATGCTTAACAGGTAGTGGATAGTGAGATTTCAGTCTTTGCCTCCTGTGTCTTAAAAGCACACAAACAGGAAAAGTTTAACTTAAAATAACTAAAGTGCTCCTCTAATGCTCACCAGAGATGTAGATCTGGCTGATTATAATCTGCAGGTTCAGCAAATATCTAACATTACACATTTTTATTATAAAAGTATAGCCAAATAAAAACACAGTGATCAGTCTTTAAAATAATGGATTCAAAAGCATTGCCCTGGGTGAAACTGCACTTAAAATGAAATGAAACACAGAAAATTGTCAAACTAATCCTGTGGTTTTCTGGAACCTCACAGAGCATTTTAGTGTCTTTTAGCTCATTGTTTTGGTTTGTGGCCCAAAACCTTTGTCGGTCTCACCATGCTTACCAAATGTTTGTGAAATTTCCAGCTGCCATTAGAAGACGTTTTTGTAACCATGCAGCTCCAAATGGCAGACACACAAATGAGGTTACTCACTTATCAGGCATTTAGAAGCATTTTGCATCTGGAAAGTCAGACATTTCCCTCAGGAACTGTTTGAGACCTTAACAGAGCTAAAAGCATCGTGAATATGAGGCTTACATTTGTTAAACTTGAACTAAATGATGATGCATCTGTGTCTATGAATGTGTGAAAAAGTGATTGTTTGCTCATGCATTTGTATAAACTTTATAAGGTGATAATAACTCATTGTTGTGTTTATAACTTGCTATATGCCCCCCCCCAACAATAACTGCACTTAAGTTTGTTTGGGTATGTCATTTGAATAATTAGTAGCTGTTTTAATTCTTTAATGTTCTTGTTAATAACCATAAATGTTCTGGTGATGCAACTTTGTGTTCTTTAACCAATTTAAGCTGTTACATTCTTTGGGGGTGAGAAACAGACAGAAAAAAAACTGCAGGGTGAAATGGAAACACTGGGAACAAGAGAAAGAAAAAAAAAAGGAAGAGGTGAAAGTGACAGCACAAGGAGACTTTCCTTTTTCTCCCCTCAGAGTGTGTGATTAAACCCACCACATCCACTTCCCCTCTATTATCATCAGGCATCACTGGCCCCATGCCTGGCCCTCCACCGGCCGCCCCCAAACAGCATAGCCTTACTAGACAAACACGGACAGGACACCGTGGATGGCTGCTGCCCACAGCCGCCAGCAGCACCCCCATGGCTAACATGACATCACTGCTATTTAGGGAAAATTACAGTAGAAGGCGATGCAGACAGACTTTATTTCACTGCTAGTCTACTGCTTTTGGCTTCCAAGTGTACCGCACAAACAAGCATGTGCCCAGACTCACACAGACACACACACACACACCTCTGTTTGCCAGATAGATTATAGGTTTTCTGTAAGTAATCCTTCCAACAGCAGCAGCAACAGCCTCCAGGTCCAGACTATTTGCGTGTTTCTGTATCAGTCTGAGGCTTTTCAACACCTGAGCGGAGACAGGAGTCGTTTTTGTTACCCCACAGCAATAAATTAGTCTGTAGTTTACACGAGCCCCGGACCTCAGTTTGGTCTCCTAGTGCAAACATAAAAGGCTTCGTTTTTCTGTTCTATGTGAGAGTATTTGTGTTTTTAGGAGCCTGATAATGTTTTTTCAGTCTGTGCGTGTGTTTCAGGTTGATTGGAGGTGAAAGAACATGTGCCTTTAACATTTGTCTCATAGAGGTATTCCCTTGGAGACATTATTATAATCAAGATGGTGTGTGTGTGGGAGACTGTGTGTCTGGGTGTGTACTTGACTATGAGGGGGATCCTGGCAGTTACTTTTTGTTCTTTTTTTTTTGGGTTACTTTTCTGAATTTGTTCCCTCTAAAGCTCACTTCCGAGAAGTGTTACAAAATATTTTGTCAATGCCAACATGTATAAATGTTTGTTTTCTAGCTAAAGCTGTATGAAAAGCTTTAGAGTTGAGGTAACATGTCCACAGTAACGTTATAAAATGTCAAAAGTTGTGCAGAAGAACAGAGAAAAAGTAGCAGCTAGATCATAAACCTGTTGAACAGATGCATCAGATCATCTGTCTGCACTTGTAGAAACCTTTTTCACATCAAAACTATCATAAATATCTCAAACACTGGAAATGATTTGAACACGTTTATAAGCCGAAAACTGAGTCATAACAATAATATAACAAATAGATTGTGATGACATGTCATTTTTACCAAGGCGGTGTCAACTGTTGAATTTTTATTAAAACAAATGATTTTTTTGGAATACAAAGTATCGTTCACTGATAGATCAAGTTATTAAACTCAATGTGAAAGACGTGAAGCTATCATCACTTTTTAAAAAATCCATATCACTCTCATATGTTTGGGCCATTCTGAGACCATGTTTAGAATTACGTCAAAAACCACAGAAGAAGGTCACACTGGGAAGGTGTTTTTATTATGATGAACATAGCAGCTTTAAAACGCATTGTTGTTGAAAGGCGACTTTTTGGGTTAAAGAAACAGGCAATGACAAGGTACACAGGGGTTTGTCGGAACAAAATATGCAAATCCACTGTAAATGAAATGCTGGAAACAGATACACAGCCGGCCTGGACCATTGTTTTGTATTTGCAGCAAGTTAGCTTTTAATGCGTTTGTTTTAGCAGCACATTTTTTTCCATACAGCTTGCCTTTGTTTTTTTTAATAAGGATGTATTTTTTAATCTGCATCTTTTCTAAATTTGCTGCCCTTTCTCATGATAGATTGGTTTGCACCACTGCAAGGCAAGTTTGTGTATATAATAACTTTGCATTCTGTTGTGTGCATTGTGTTTCCCCTTGTAGGCCACCATAGGTCCATCTCTTCATTTGCTCGTTGCCTTCAAATATTCAGGGCTATATTTCAAGGCTCCATATCAGAATAAATGACTTGTAAGAAGAGATATGTATCAGAGGGAAGTCAGATTATACAGGTTTTTCAAAACAGAGCTGGACGCAGTGTGAATTGATTTGACCTAAAGCTGCTTACCGTCAACAGAGTGTGGATCTAATGGTTTCTCCAGCAGCATGAAAATGACTCCCGCGCTAATGTTACTGAGCCTCTTGATGGTACTAAGCATTTTTAAAAAAGGTCATCATTAATCATTATGATGCAGATTTTTTTTATGTTGAGTATTCTAGTAAACATGGGACGGAGAAAGAGGGAGTAAACATGCAAGAAAACAAAATGAACCAGTTTTATTAAGTTATATTCACACTAGCAGCATGTTTATTGGAGAGCATTATTTAGATTTCTGCCAATGGCGGACAGTGAAACAAGCGGTGAATACAACACAGACATTTTATTTATCCCCTTATTAAGTTTTATGGCCGCCATGTTTACAAATGGAGCATATTTACACTTCCAGCAGACATTAGAATTCTGTTGGAGCTGTGTTTCTGTCCCTCCAGACAAAGTAAGTCCAACAATCTGAACTGCAAAACAAGATTAGCAGCATCGAAAACTGAAACACTATGTTTGCCTACTTCGTCTTTCCAGACCATTTTAGCGTTTAGCGTCCCAATGCAAATTATCTCAGTGAGATGTGTCATTAGCATCAGGTTTACACAGCAGGAAACGTACTAAGATCTTCTTTCTCATTATATGTAAAAAATGTTAAACGCTGTCCTGTTCTTCTGTCTTCAACTTGAAGTCTCTGTCTCCTTCCCCCTCTGTCCCCTCTCACTCCTCTCTCCTCATAAAACTCTCCCGCTGTCTCATTGAGTGCCTGTGATGATTTCTCAGCTGAGCAGTTATGATTGAGATAACGGCTGCTGTCTCCTCTCCTGGATTCATCACCCCAGTTAATGCACTTTGAGGCTTGTTATATCCAATTATTCACTGTGCACGGGGGCTGATGCTCCACATTAACTTTCTCCTCAACTGAATGCATTAGTGTAAGTGGGAGTTCATTGATTTAATGTGCCGGAGCAAAAACTTTGCATGTGAAACGTTAACTTTACATGACTTGCTCTCCCTTCAAGATTTAGCACAAGAGTATTAAGTGGCATTACATAAAGCTTTGTTTTACTGCCTGCAAATGATGGTGTAATTATTTTGTAATGATGGTGTACTTCAATATTACTGTTAAATAATTACTGGGATGAACTAAAACATTTATAGGGGAGCCAAAGACTTGTAATAAAGAGGTTACATCTTGGTGTTGCAAAATTACAGCTTACTGAAAATAATAATAGTGTATCATGATATGGATCTGAGGAAACACTAGAAAATGCCCAGAAATATTTTTTTCATTAAAGAGCTCTAAAAGTGTACGAGATATAATAATCTAACAACGAGAAAACATTACAGGGGCAGTAGACATCCCATAACTTTAGCTGGCATTACGTGCATGGTCATAGTGGGTGGCTGTGGCTCAATTGGTAGAGTCGTCGTCACTCAACTGTAAAGTTCAATCCTCAGCTCCTTCAGCAACATGTCTGATGTGTCCAAGGACAAGACACTTAACCCCCACTGCTTTGTCGACGGCGTATGAATGGAATTAATTACTTCTGATGGTCTAACTACATAGCAACCACTGCTATCAGTTTTTGATTGGATAGGTGTGACATGTGATATAAAAGCATTTTGAGTAGTCAAAAGACGAGAAAAGGGTTATAAAAGCTCAAGTCCACCATTTACCACATTTAAAGTCTAACTCCTTGTATACGCCACTGTACTGTCTTTTTTAAAATACATAGAGTGAAAACATATTGAAGCATGGACTCTATGGAGCAGTGATAAATTAGACTTGTTTTGTTGTTACACCCTTTTATTGAGCTCTAATTTTCAGGAAAGTCTTTGTAAAATCTCCACACAGTTCAACTTTTTCTTCCATGTAATGCAACCACGCTGTGACCTTCATGATGATAAATGACCTTTGTGCTGCAAAGTTATATTCCAGAAACTGAACAAAAATCTCTAAGAGCATCAGCTTAATCCTTAATGCGGCATTGAGGGATTTTCCTTTGACAAATCCTGGAAAATGAAGGCAGACACCTCTGGGGCTTTCATTACAGATCATGACCAATGTACACATATGCACACACGCACACACTTTGCACACACAGCACTAACTGTTGAGGTGTTGGAGATGGAAGATTAGCCGCTCTAGCTGACAGTTCCGCAGGCACATACCTGTCCTGTTAAGAAGGTGCAGGCTGATTTACAAGGTAATGTTGTGCCAGTTAAGCAGGCTGATGCCAGCAGCTCTCTGCAGCTGGGGACGAGACGCGACGAGAAGTGTGTTACAAATAAGGAAGCATCTCAAGTCGAGGACACTGACATTTTTTCCACTGTTGCCGGGGTCTTTTCTGGTAGACAGACTAGACAATAAGCTGGAGCCATTTCCATCCTCGTCTGGCATGCCTGGCATGCTGCTGGCAGACACTCCAGAGTATTACAGAGAGGCAGAGGCACAGCTCAGTTGACCTGCTCTGACTAAGAGGCCTGAGTCTAAGGGATTAAAACAAATACTAACGAACATCCATCTTTCTTTTGCTGCCCTGCTACTATTGTTCTCTATCAATAACCCATTTTATTTTCTCCTCTGTATATCCCTTTTATCCCTATGTCTTATGTTTTATTGTGTTCTGTCACCAGGTCATGTTTCTAACTTCCTTTACCTTTTAATTTGTATTTCCACCAGGCCTACCCTCTCAGCTCTCTGGCAAAGAAGCAGCCAACAGTGCTGGTGATCTGTGGTCCGGATCAAAACGGCTCCATCGGCCTGGTGTGTGCCCGACACCTGCGCATGTTTGTAAGTAAACGTCTAGAAAACAACTTCCTAGCAGAGTAAATCCCTTTAGTAAGGTTGAACAAAATGAAATATTAGCCTCTGTGAACATATGTGTCACCATAGAAAAAAACAACAACCCTTAAAGCAAACTTAAAGTACACTCTGGACTCAAAGTGAATCCCCCAGGCTCTCCCCACTTTACTCAATTTCATTTCAGCTCCTGTAAACGGCTCAGAGTAGTTATCCCATTACTTTCCCTGCAAGGGCACTCAGACAGTCATGATATCATCGTATTGTTACTCTCGTTAAAGCTGTCTGCGTCTTTGATATGATGTCATGACCGTGATGTCTGCCCCTTTAGGCCGCAAACTGACTGACATCTCAGGACTAACTGTTTTAGAGGCTGGATCCATCCTTTCCATTACATCACAGATCATGACTTGAACTGACAGCCTTTCTCTTTTGCGCACATAGTTTATTTCACTGCTCAGTTCTGTGATCGTGCCTGCAGTCTATGACTTTATGCAAATGGAAATATTGCATATGTGTTTTGGGGATCTTTGGTTTATAATGGAATTCATCGATATACTTTACCATATGTGTCTTGCATGGTAGATTTACAGTGCGTTCTGATGGTTCTGATTAAGGTTCTTCAAGGAGTTGAACTTTTGAGGCAAGGATTTGGTCAGAGGTGAGCTCGAACCAAAATGTTACACCGTTGTACAGCTTACATTAAGAAGAGAGAGACATTGTTGAAGTAGTAAATGAAGTAGGGACATTGTTGCCAGCTTCAAGTCCAAGGTGTGAATTAAAATGTACATTAACATAAATGTTCATCGAGCTTTTAAAGCAATATACAAACACACACAATGTTTCCCTTTTGTATCAAGAACACAGAGAATAAATGCATTTTCCCTTTAACAGCAACAAACAAATATACATAGTCATCTTAAGAAAACAAAAAAAATATATATATTTATTATTTTCTTACAAATTTATTGTATAAAACACTTTGCTTTTGAGGCACAGATGGCCTAGCGGTTAGGTAGTGCCCCAGGTTCAAGTCCAACCTGTGGCCCCACTCTCTCTCTCCTGATTTCCTACACACAAAACAAAACACACAATCTCTTGTCAGACAGCAATGAAACATTGTCATACTCTGCTTGTGTGGCTCAGCTATAGCAGCAGTCAATGGTGTCAGCACACCACTGTTTAGCGTCGCTTAATAAACATGCTTGAATGACATTCCCATCTATATTATTGGCCATTGGTATATGGCAAATTGACTTGTATAGCCCTTTTCTAAGCTTCTCACAACTTAACATGCTTTTACAAGACATGTGACATTCATCCATCACACCCCACACACTGATGGCAGAGGCTGCTAGTGCCCAACGCGAGTACACAACAGTACTCCTTCATTCACACGCATTCACACATCCCTGGCATAACAGCAGGAGCAATTTGGGATTCATTGTCTTGCCCAAGGAGACTTCAACATGTGAAGAATCATCTGAATGAGCTGAAGATCATACCACCAAATTTTTTGCTGAAAGATGACCGACTCTACCACTGAGCCACAGCCGCCCCAGTGCCAAGAATACAGAAAAAACAAACTGTATATTTTCAGTCTTCCTTGTTAATTTGCAAACATATTTACACAGTTTTATGTTCTTTTTTTCAAAGATATATTTTGGGCTTTTCGAAGTATATTAGAGTTACAGGAAGTTGGAAAGTTGGAAATCAGGTAGAGAGAGAGTGGACAATGATATGAAGCGAAGAAGCCACAGGTCATATTTGAAGCCGGGCTGCCCTGTGTAATGTCTATACATGGCGTGCGGACTAGTCACTTGACCACCACCAACGCCCTAGTTTTATATCTTTTCAACTAACCTGTATGCATACCGCAAGTGACACGCTCCCCCTTCTGGAGAAACTCAGAAGTGGAAAATAATCCAAACAAATATTAATACCAAAGCAATGCACGGTTGAATTTATAATAAACCATAATGTTAAAGGAATTAACATTATAGCATGTAAAGCTTTTTAAAAGGACAAATACCAAAACATTTGAGAAAACGTTTTTCTTATTGTTTTAATGTTATTATACTTCTTTGAAACTTAATGCAATTTTTTTATATCCGTAGAAAAAACACAGTATATTCCAGTGCTCCATAATAAGCACCTAACTATCTATCTTTTTTGTTTCTAATGTTTTCAACATCTGCTCATTGTTTCCCTGTGAATCTGTCAGCGTTTTAGACACATTTACCTCCATCTTAAAATGTGCTATGTAAATTAAGTTTTATGATCAATATTTTCAAAGTGACTGCACTCTACATTTGGCCAATAGGGACAGCACTTGTCTGGGTTTGCTCTAACTTCAGAAACTCGAGTACTTATTTTGGACTGTGAATCACTCTCCTGGTGTAAGAGTGTATGTGTTTCATGGTGTGATGTGATCCCTGTCAGCAGGAAGACATGCAAGCGTACACGTGAGACACACAGACAGCCTTGAGTCCCTGATGTGGAACTGTGAATGTGATTAGACAGAGCATAGACATAAAAGATCAAGCCAGCTTGCTCCTTGCATCACTCCAAGATGTCCGTGTTCACAGACACACATCATAGGTTGTGTAGGACTCTGTCATGCATCTCTGATTGTTTCCAGTGTTAGGTAATGGTGAAAAGCACAATGCCACATACCAGAAAACAGACATATCCCTTGATCAAATTTAATGTTGGATGAGAATAAAAAAGCAGGTCCTATGTGCATTAGTTCCAGTGTTTAGTTGGACATGAGGTTATCGTTGGCTCTCTACTTTGTGCTCTACAGGAAATCACTGCACAAAAAGTTTACATTTCTGAGACACATTATAATTTACATTTATAAAATTCAAATATTCTTCAGTATATCACTTTACAGCAAAGAAGTAATAACAATCAAATGTAGTAATTAAAAAAAACAATCTGTAAAGTCTCCGACTTTATTTTCCTGCCTCATCCATTCATTGTAATGGACTGTGTAAAAAACTAAATAAGACAGGATACCATCGCTCTTAAGCAAAAGGAAGTTTAACCCTCTAGAATGCAAACGTTAACTGCATGGCCTTGCTTTCTTCCTTTGCTTATTTTTGTTTCACGGCTCATTTCTATTCATGCTCAGTGACACTGGCGGTCATTTTGAGCTCTTTCTTAGTTTTCACACAGTGTGATGGTGTAACTGTTGATGACATCAAGGGCATCCAGGGGTCAATAGCTTACCCCCCTGAGGGACACACACACACACACACACACACACACACACACACACACACACACACACACACACATATTGGATTGGATTCTTGCTTAGTTTCTTATCCTGTACCCCGTGGAGTTCAGGACAGCAATGACATCAGAGAATCAGTGTCTATGACAGAATGATCGGTTAAGGATTCCCAGGGAGGAAGCAGTCTGATTAACCCACTGACTGCATATAAAGATGGACGATATGTCTCCATCTTCTCAGATTTCACAAAATTGAAGCCAATATACCCCCTCCACGGACACTGACATATTCCGCTGGTGATGTCATTTGGAGCCAGAGTTACGTAATTAGATTACATTATCAATGCCCTGCCTCAGATTTGACTTACCTGTAAAACAGGAAAGATCCCTCAGGTCAACAAAGCCTACAACAGATTATTTTTTTGACTGAAGCGTCATCTACAGTTATGAAAGGTTGTACTGAAGTGTGTTTGTTAGTGTTCATTATCCTTTTCTCTCATCATTCCTCTCCTACTCTGTGGTGCACACAGTGCTGCAGTTGCTGCATTCATCAACAGAGCTGTCAATTATGTGTTATAGCTTTTTATTGCAACAAATAACTAAACTTGACGTCTAAAAAAGTAAACATTTCTGAGCTATCATTAATTGGGCATGATTAAAACTAACTCAATGACAGAAACCATGCTTGTGATTTTTTTTAAACTTTATTTATGTGAATTTCTGTTCATGGTTTGAGCCATCTCCATTTGTTAACATAGAGAAGCATAGCCAGTAGGGGGAGCTCCGAATGTTTTGGCTTCACTTTTGCAGTGCTGTTATGATTCATCTTTTTAAACAGTCAATGGTTTGAAAGCACAGATCACATCCTATGCAAGGCAAAGAACAGTTCCTATACATGTATTTATTCACTTAAATGAGAAACCTATAGCAAAATAATAAGGCAAAATATGCAATCTATTATAAATTTGATATGAAACCCAAAGTAAAGGTCTACTCGTGTGGCATGGGCAAAGTGTTAGAACAACAAAGATGACAACTCTGTTCTGGAGGATTCACCAAAATTATCCATAACATAACCTGGTGGTGTTTGGCAACCTACAAGCACAAAGGAGGTTTAGGCTAACTTTTTACTTCAGCTTTCTTGTATTCTCACAATAAAAATCATTTTTTCTGCGACAGCAGTTCCTAGGACGATCCCAAAGGTCCCAGAATGCAGTTACTTCCTGCTGACAATCGCAAGCCTTTCCCAGATACTGTCTAGATTTCTGCTCCTCTCTGCTTCCTCTTTATGAGGGTAGTATTCTATCTTGAAGCAGACAGTAGAATATCACCTCTGATCACTTGACAAATATATATTCACATGGCTTGAACTGAAGGCCAAATGTACATTGAGGAGTCATACACTCAATCATATTAGTGATCACTGGTATTGCAGGATGTTGATGTTTTGTAACGTTTTCTCAATTTTTTGCTTCTTTCTCTTTCTACCCTAACCACCACATCCCTGCTGTGTCCTCCGTTGCCTCATCTTGACCCTAAGGGCGCGGTCACACTGGCCATCCGTACCGTGCCCAAGCACGCTTCAACTCTAAAGTCCAGTTCGTTTGACCAGTGTGACCGCTCCGTATCGTGCTCAGGCACTGTACACTTCCTTGGCTCTGGAACACTTCGGAGAGATGTGCTTTGGCACGGTACACTTCATGCACGAGCACAAGCACGCGGGTACACACCGCTGACAGCCTTCATTATGGAGAAATCCAGAGTTTCATGGCTGTGTCTGACTAAAATGACTCAATGTAAGCCACAAAGTAGCTGTCATGTTCTCTGTGTTGTTCTCCGATGGGCAGCCGCGGACTCGCGTCTATTTTTAAAATGTTTTTATTTATGGCTGTGTCTGATAAAAATGGCTTAAATTAAGCCGCAAAGTCAGTAAAGTAGCTGTCATGCTCTCTGTGTTGTTCTCCAATGTGCAGACGCGGACTCAACTGCGCGTCTCTCTCTCTCTCTCTCTCTCTCTCTCTCTCTCTCTCGTCCGCCTGTTTGTCAACTGAGCACGCTTTTTAATAACATAAAGCATGCATGCGTTGTATTACAAAGTTATGTACAAGAGGTAATCGTGCTTAAGCACCGATAGTCCTGTGTAGTGACTATCGGCCAGCGTGGAAATGGCGCAGCGGGGGGCCAATCATGCTTGAGTACGGCACGGTACAGATGGCCAGTGTTACCGCGCCCTAAGCCCCCAACTCTTCACTGTTATTTTTCTCTTTTCTTCATCTCACACAGGAATATGAGCCCACCATCTACCACCCTCAACGCTCCTCTCAAAGTCTACACCAGGACTTTACAGTTCAGTGTGAGAAGATGGACATCCCATTCCTCTCCTATCTCCCCACAGAGGTTGGCAGGACTTTTACATATTATCACATTTTACCATAGCTTCGGAAATTGTGCTGCTTTAATCGATCAATTAATTAACAGTATGCACTATTGATTAGTTTGTAACAGTGTCAGTTGCTTTGATAAAAAGTTGTTTACCATTTTGGGAAATAAGCTTTTTTTCTTAAGAGTTAGATCATAAAAAAGTCCATTGACTCTTTGTCATTGAAAAAGGCAAGAAGTGAGTTAGCATAGCTTAGCACAAAGACTGGAAACAGGGGGAAACTGCTAGCATAGTACGGTCAAAAGGTAACAAAGTCTGCCACCATCAAAGTCCGCCGCCAGCCCTCTTGAGTACACAGAATGTATATTCTGAAGCAAAGTACAAAAACTGAAGCATAAAAAAGGAAAATTTTGTATACTTAAGAGGATGCCGTGTTTTGTGTTGTTTTTTGTTTTTAACCAGCTGTTAAGCACTATTGTACAGGCAGCTAAATGTGTGTACCACTCGAGCCCAAGAAAAATCTAGCTAGGAGGACAAAAAAGTGTATCTTATGTTGGATTGTATCATACAATAACACAGTGGTGTCCAAACTTTTTTTCTTGCGGGCCAAAATTGTTGTGTTAGAATCGCTCGCGGGCCACAGGTTTTGTTTTATAAAATATAGTTGAAAAAATTGTAAGGCTTTGTAGATCAGAATCAAAAGGCTCGCTAAAGAAACCCTTCAATAAAAGGAAATCAAATATTTAGATTTCTTTGTTCTACTTTTTTTGTTTTTTACTCAGAATCAAGCCTGTAACATGGTTCATTTTTTTTGGAAAAGCTTTCTGCATTTAGCTCAGGTCATTAAATGGTTAAACAACAGTCCGCTTGTTTGCAAAAACTTTGCATACGTTTTTTTTCATAGTTTACAAAACGGGCCGCAAAAAATCCCCTCAAGGGCCGCAAATGGCCCTCGGGCCGCACTTTGGACACCCCTGCAATAACACATGGTATTGAATCATATCATTTTTTATCGTGATATATTATGTTATCTTACCTTTCCATTTCTTTCTGTTTATATCATGTTGGAGCTTATAGCATCACAACTTATCATTTCGTATTGTTTCATATTGCAGCTTCTCCAAATGTTTGCAGTTTTTATGCTTCGTTAAACTTATTGTAGCTTTAATGGAGAGACAAGGAAGTACAACCATTAACCAGTGTTTTGTATCAATGAAAAAAGTTAGAAAATTACTTCTGATTTGGATCCCTCCCTTCAATAAATGGGATTGTTTGATTTGTTTGAGTTGTTATGCATTTACCAGCTTACATTCCCTCAAATTGGAAAGGTGATCCGAGGTGGTGTCTCATCTCATTCTCATGGATTTTTGTCTACAAGTAGTTAAACTCTGTTAATTAATGCTGAGATCTGTTGTGTTCAGGTGCAGCTCATAAACGATGCCTACAACCTAGTGATTGATGCCATGCTGGGCCCAGAGACAGAATGTGCCAACATTAAAGAGCCCTACTCTGGTATCCTGGTCACCCTTAAGCAAGTCAAGACCCCCATTGCTAGTGTGGATATGCCCTCAGGTAAGTGTTCATAAAACGTGTAGATATCAGGGTGGAGGCTCAAAAACACATGATAAATGGGCCTCCAGGCAGCTCCCTAGGAGCCTTGGCTCCCAAGCAGGAGTTTTCCAAGTCTGGAGGCACACGTGGAGAATAAATCTTACTCTACAGTCAGCTCAGTGTGAGCTCATCATACCCTGAATACACTACCTGCTGAGTTAGAGTCCAACAGGCAAAGAAATATCACAATCCTCCTCTCCTTAAATGCTTCTTTTTTTCCTCCCACCTTTTCTGTCTTTCCCAGGTTGGGACGTAGAGGAACCAAGTCAGGATGGGATTAACCCTGAAGTTCTCATCTCCCTTACAGCTCCAAAAAAGTGTGCTATGAGTTTCTCGGGGAAGCATTTCTTGGCCGGACGCTTCCTACCCTATGACATCCAGAAAAAATACGAGCTTAACCTCCCGGATTACCCTGGCACGGACTCTCTCATAGAGTTGTAACAAATGAGAAACATAAGAGTCACCGTGGCCTCTCCTCATTTCTAAGACTGTATGTTACATTTATCCTCTTGTTTTGTATTTTATAGATTGTTAATGTGATTTGATGTTAACATCTCAGTTATGTAAATCACGCTACACCTTAGCCAAATGTGCTGTTGAGCTACAGTAAAAGGATCATATTTAGAAACAACAGTTTCTGTCATGTCTACTGGGAAAATGGCATGAGGAGACTTTTGTGTCCGTCTACCTGTAAAAGCTGTAGCATAACTGTTTTCTGATTACTATGACAAAGACAGACATTTCTCTTCTTTTTTTACAGTCAGCAAAGAATGATGAATTTTCTTGGATGTCAACCACTGGAATCTTTTTTTCTTCTTCGAAACATTTTTTTTTAATGTTCATGTTCTGATGCTTTTATGTTTTCTTTTAAAACGTTCTACCAAGTGTGCTGCTGAGATGAATTAATGTAGGCTGGCAAATTTAGATTTTCTATTTCTGTGTTCTTGGTTTGTATGGTCAGCCTGCTATTCTGCATTCCATTTGTTTAAGTTACAGTAAGCAGAGAGTCCTAGTTGTAGAATAAAATGTTACTTTTAAAGAGGTGGTTCAGTTTCTTGTTTGTTTTTCTTGGCCTAGATCACTGATAAGTTTATGTGATACCAGCGACGGCTGCATGTAACAAAGAATTGGGTCAATTTTCGTGACACCCAACAAGAAATACAGACCAACATTGCAGTATTTATTCTAGCCTTTTGGCCTATTTTTCATTGTTTGTTTTTGGCTAGTAACTCTGCTCTCATCAAGCATATGGCCAGATGTTTTGGGCAAAAAAAGTTAGAAGAATCCTTTGTTCACAACATATTTATTAAACAGCAGACAAACAAAGTCAGCTGGAAAATGTCGTTAATCATATCGCTAAACCGCTAGACACATTAGTCAGAGATATACAGGACACTTTTGTCAGAGCTAAAAGGAAAATGATAAATGACTCACACAATCCTTGATGCGCCGGTCGCAGGTACGGCTCTCTGCCCTGTTATGCAAGCCTGTCTTACTTAGCTATCCTATCAACTAAAATAAAGAAGGTTGTTTTTATTATTTAAGGAGAATTAAAATGACCCTGGGTCTGGTAGTGGTAATGTTCTTGGATGTCTCTCTTAAGACACATCTGTTAGATGACAATGCCTACTCATTAGTCCAACTATAGGTGTTTTGAATGCAATTAGCTTTGTGCCTTAAAGATGAGCGCACACTGTTAATCCTGTTTATTGGTTCCCAACTGGATTTGATTTGGTAGGGAAAGCCATAAACAGGTGTGATGGAGCTGTAATCAGCTGTGGAGGGAGGCCTCTCATTATCGAGCTCGGGGCTGCAGGCTTCAGTGAGAATGACTAAGTGAGACTGCTGTGCTGTTTATGGATGAGGTAATGTGTATTTATATGAAGCACAGGAGCTTCTCCTGAATACTAATGCATTAATACCCCGTGTGTGTGCACATGTGTGAGTGGGTGTAGAAAGTCAGTGAAAAGGAATGTGGACCCGTTTTTTCACTCGGTGGTATTAAATCTGTCAGAGGAAAACTGACGAGGGTTGTAGAAATATGTCTGAGTGCTCAGCGGTCCTGTCTTTCATGCCTGTCCAATCCCGGTCAGGAAACAAAGACTTGTCACCACTCTGTCCTTTATGCTTTTCCTTTAAGCTGTTGAGTAATGAGCTTTGGAGATGTCGATGGCCTGGAGAATTGGACAATCATAACTGACAGTGGGGCTTGTTGTTATATCCAGTGAGAGATAGTCCTATATGGAGAAGTATTGTGTGCACAATGAGGCAGAAAGATTAATCTAGTGTTTATTTTGTACAATACACAAAAGCAATTGAAGAGTTTACAGAGCATTAGCTAAATTACAAAAAGGGTTCCAGCTCTTTTTCAATGTGATAAATATTTGTTTCTCAACCAAACAACCAATGGATGTTTCATGAATCGAAAAAAAAATATTTCAATAATTCACTTTCCAGGTTTCAGATTTGACTGTTAAAGGTGAATGACCGTTTGAAATTGCAATGTTCATTTTCATTGGGATGAGGGCACAAGGTCTACTATAGGATACGTTTACCCGTTATAAGATAGGAGCTTTATTCAGCCCCACCACACAAAACACAGAATCAAATTTATAAAAAACATGATGAATGTTTGATCCCTCTAACTGTTTGAATAAGAGTTTTGTTTATGATCAGTTATGTGTACAATTAATCCACTGCAAATCATCCATCTAAACATTGTCTGACTCACAGGATACAGGCGGATTGGTGGCCTATTTCAGACTGCATGATAAGTTCTCATAATTTGTGTCGCTGCATGAATCAACAACCTTAAAGCTAAAAACCTTATGCTCAAAATAGTCTCCTTTCTCTACTTGTACACATCATGAAATGTTTTATGTGGCCTTGTTCATGCCAGGCCTTGCCTCATGTAAAAATGGTGCACCAAAAAAAGTTGTCGACCTGAACTGATGGTTTATGAAAGGACTGGAATTCCTCATAAGTTCCACGTGTCTCTGGGAATTTCTCGATTATCATTAGCAGATGTAATTATTTGAAAGATGTTGTTTGTTGATATCTTTGATTGCGATATATAAGGGACTAGGTCGAACTAGTTTTCAGCACTCACCAAGTTTAGAATTTATTAAAATCTGAGGAGTTATGAGAAGATGAAATGGAGGGAAAAGGTGAACAAGTTCTGCAACATATAAGTAGTTGTGAATTTGTTTGATGAAATAAAAGAACATTTATGATGAAACAGTTTAGGGAAAATGTCACTTTTGGACTTCTAACAACTCATCGACTTCTGACTTGTGACGTGGGGCCTTAACTTGACTTGACACTGCCTCTTTGTTAAACAAGCAGAATCCTTTGGCAAGCACTTTTAGTTCTTCCCAATGTGTGGTAGTTTACAAAATGACAAAAAAAGTACCTAAAACTGCATTAAAGTACATTAGCTTCCCTCAGAACTTCCCTTTAATGTGCAGCATTAAGAAACAACGTTACAGTTTTTTTTTACTGTTATTCCCACCAACCTTCAACTAGATGGAAACATTCAGTCAGTGTTGGACTAATGCAATGAAATAATCTTTTCAAAATGGGTTATTTTATGTTTTATTTATTTAAAAAAAAAAACGTTCTTTCAAAAGTTTCTGTTTAACCCCTCCTTTTTTTTGTAACCTAGCCAAACAGCTGAACACAGGTAACATTTATCATTTACAGAGATTTTTAATAAGAAGTGTTAGTGCTTAATTGCAACAATTCAAGTGCTGCGAATGAGCCAGGGTACATTGCACCTCATAAGCACGTCTTGCGTCTGCGTTCCTAGTTTTTTCCTGAATGGTATGCCATATGACGCCACTTCCACTCTTTGGCAGCGCATCACCCCGCAATCAGTGACTCTAAGAAAGTTACAAAACTGAACCAGAAGTCGAACCAGAGGCAGAGCAGCATCTGGCACTGTCCTTTGTCTGGTCGCTAGACAGATAAAAAAAAACAAAAAACAGTTAGACAAAGACAAACACGGTTGGGCATGACATTTTAGAGACTATAAACCATAAAAACACATTTTTCCAACGTTTTAATGTGAAGATTGTCACTACAATAAATTATTAAAATAATTCCTTTAAAAGTGATTCATTCAAAAGTACTGCATGGACACACCTGCTCTTAGGATATAAACATCTACACAGAGAAACAAAGCGTAACAAATTAAATAAATGTGAAAGTATAGCTGCAAAAAAGTCAGCACTTCAGAGGGTCTTGCGTTGACGTACAGGAAAACACCTTTTTTATTTTCAGCTTCCACATACACACATCCTCCCTCCCTCTCTGTGAGCTTCTCTCTCTCTCTCTTTCCCTCTGCCCCCTCCATATCCTTACCTTTTTTTTGGAAGATGATATGGGGGGACCCAGATGCTGCATTTCACTGGCCAATGGTGAGCAGAGAGGGGCTGGATTGGTGTGCACTCCCAATGCCCCTTCTTTTAAAAATGGCTCAGCTCCTGTCCTCCAACTCAACAACTCAACACTGCTCTGCTCGGACAGCAGCATCACACACCTGAGGGACTGAGGCGCCTGCTTTTTGAGCTCTAAAAGCTCTTTTTTTTTCTTGCATTTTATGTCAATTTGTGTAGAGAATCAGAGAGAGAGAGAGAGACAAATATCATCTATAATTGAAGGTGTGGGACCATGTTGGAATTAAAAAAGGTGGCACTCCTGCTGTCTTTCCTGGCTTCAGTGGCTCTGGGCCAAGGTAAGTGAGACTGAAATTCTTTGTTTCGCCTTCAGAATATATGACACCAGAACATCACAGGGAATGATTTTAAATAATGAGTTTTCGGCTTGGAGTTGCAACAATTTTTCCTCTTGTCATTATTAGTAATCACAAATAAAAGCAGGAGGCCACAGCACATGTGAATAAAGCTGCACAGTTTTTTTTTTTTTTTTATGCTGACCACATTTCCCTGAGGATGTCAGAGCAGGAGGACTCTCGAGGAAAAGTCTGGTGGTGAGCTCATATGATAAGAGTGTGTGTATTGTTGTGTGTTATTGTATAGACCACCACAGTAATTCTTAATCTGCGATGTTCAGTCACCAGTGTATTTCAGCACCAGGCTAATCAACAACACGTGGTGATAGAAAAGGAGGTTAAGAGGAGGAGGAGGAGGAGGAGGAGGAGGAAATCTTTACAGGGAAAACTCTTCATTTGGTGCCCATGTGGTCTAGTGTAATGATAGAGAAAACTTTGTTGATCTGTTGACGACAGGATAAGTGCTGTTGGTGACGCTAAGGCTTTGGAGCCACACATCTTTTATGTGTAAAGACAAACTGCAGCACAGTAGCAGCGACAATCAGCAAGCAGAAGGCCTGGTTTTTAGAAAAATGCAGCCATAGTGCGCTGACAAACCAACCAGCATTGATTTGAATTAAGATTTGAATCTCTACATTTTCAATATAATCCACAGTTTATTTTGTCATGAACTATCAGCCACACAAGCGCTGCACAAAATGATACTTTTAAGCTTGAAAATAAAATTCCCCACACCCTATATTTTTCTCCTATCATCCTTTGGAAGTAATCCTCCTGACAGACACAGATAGAATCACTTTTTACAAAGTTGTCCCTTTCTGTCCGCCTTACAGCTGCTCCCGATTAGCAGGAGCTGGCAGTTCATAAAAGCAAACGACAGTAAATACACCTTAATAGTCTCCATATCTTGTCGGATTTGGAGGCCGCAGAATCGTAAATGTCTCGCGCAGGCTCTGTGCCATTTACTGATGAGTTTATCAAAGACTGTTTTATTGGACAAAAAAAAAGGAGGTTAAAGTAGAAAATGGTGATTCAGATTGACTCACGCTGAACTGAAAATTGTGCCACAGCTGCAGCTGAATGCTGACCTTAAAATGGATTGTAAAATTTTATACTCTGGGCTGAGCTCCTTTAGCATTACATCCCCATCTTGCAGTGAGGTGGTGCATTTTTTTGTCCTCATTTCACCCTGAGAGGCAGTGCCAGCGGCCCTTAAAGATATAAACCCTGTCACCTTGGAAACAAGAGCTCGGCTCTTGTGCTCGGCTAAATGAGTGAATGGAATAAAAGAAGTGGTATGGTGCACAGGTAGAATGACTTTACCGTCCCCTGTCAAATTGGCCAGCATGTCACTCTTTCCTTTCTCATTTCTGATGCTAGTCTCAGCCCCTCACTGCTGCCCTATTTGCAACAGTGACGCCTGTATGTCTCCATCCTTCTGTTTGTCTTCATCTGTTCACTTACTATTTCCAACGTGTCTCCCTCAGGTATTTCTTCACACTCCCAGTTTTCCCTTTCCACACCTTTTTCTCGCCGCTCCCTTCCATCAAGTGCGCTCTCTTCGCCTTGTTCTCTGTCACTCTCTCCATACACCTTAGAGCTCACAGATTTACGAGCTGTTTGCCTATTTTGAAGGCGGCAGCTGTTGCCGAACGCTCAATGCAAGTCAGAGGGGAAAAGCTGCGACATTACCAACTCTTACCACAAGTCTGTTTTTCAGTTACTGTATAGTTACTGTATTTAGGCCTGTTTAACCTACTACAGAACTTGAAGTCTTCTCCTCTCTTGGTTTTTTTTGTTGTTGCATGATTACCTGGCAAAGCTAGATGGTGCGTGTGTGTTTGAGCAGCTGGAGGGATACTTCTCCAGATGCTGACCACTGTCTGCTCCAAACACAGAGCTGTCTGGCCAGCTGACATTAATGACTGTGACAGGGATAACTATGGATTAAATGAAAAGGCACAAATTCCCATTAATGAACACCACAAAAATCAAAGAAGATATTTCATTTTCCCCCGTGTATGTATGTGCCCATGTATATGTGGATGTACCAAAATGTAATTTATTGCAGGTCTACACTGCTGCTTTCAATTGGGAATTTCTAGCCCCAAGCTGTGTACCAGTACACAGGTGTAGAAGTTCATCTTAGGACCTCCAGATATTTTTCTTGCTGAAATTCAACGCTGCCCAACTGTGTTTTTAATAGCATCGAGGAGAACATACCAGAGAACACAAAGCCTTTGTAAATCTGTGAATGATGTGGTTTATTTGCATCATTAGTTAATGTCAGAGACCAAATTGTGGACTAAAAGTTTTAATGAACCACAGATGTTAAAGGAATCAGACTTGGATTTTTATTAACAAGGAAAATCGGGTTAATGAAAGAGAAAGACACAGGGAGAAAAGGCAGACTCACCTGCAGCACACTCTCCAGTGGAGAAACTATAGCCAAACACATAAACAACTTCCATCTGACATGGCAAACAGATAATCACATACACCGGCCGACACACACAAGTAAACACCCATGCATGCACTGCCATCACTGAATTCATGCGTGGAATACCTCTGTCTTTGTTCAATTTAAACAGGACTTCATCAACAAATAGTGCACAGCTTTGTTTTCTTAGGGAGCTTAACTTTGTCCAAAGGTTTACATAACTGTGTGGGGGGCTGGGTGTTTTCACATCTTCCTTGTCTTTTAAGGAACTGGCACATTATTAAATGAATGCAGACATGTCTCTTTGCCAACAAACATCTGCCACATTGTGCTTTAATCTGCCCATTCTGGGTGCAACTTCATAAAGTCGAATATTTCTCCTCCATCATCCTCTCTTCAGCAGCTTTTTATTAGACTCTGTGTAGTCAGAAAACCCCTACCAGGAAACTGAACCTGAGGGATGCCGTCCTTTGTAATGGGGCTGGTGATTATTAATAGTGGACTTGCTTTTGTGTTGCCTAGCTATAAGAAAACCTGCCTGTATGTCAAACGCAAGTACCTTGACGTTTGTTGTAAATCTAAAGATAGTGCTCTAAAATAAGATATTGCAGTTGTCACAACAGACTCAGAGTGGGTTAAGGACGACTAAGGGTGCTTTGTGGGATAAACAATAATCCAGTAGCTATATTTCAAACATGTTATTGACGTAGCCTGGCATTCAGGTGCTTAGGATATGGCTGGAACAGACTCTCTAAACTTCCGCAGATCAAGTTCCTTTATTATATTGGTGCAATGAGAATGTATCTTGTTACCTTGTCCATGGTTTATGAGGGTCACAGTGAGGCTGAAGGAGGTTTATTATAACCAGCACATGGTGGGGGTTCATGTCAAAGGTGGAACTGCATGAGAGAATTGATATGTTCTTATATGCATTTCATTACATTGGCTGTGAAAGGTTTATATAGTTCAAATGTTTGTGTGAGCAAAGCACCAAATCAATCCCACTACTGCCAAACAGTTCTCCAAAAAAACTACAAAAACTGTCCAGCACATACCCAAAATAACATAAACATTCTAGATTCATGGCTTTCTAAGAATCAGAACTCGGACAGGTTGAGGAGGAAGTCATGTGTGGGCATTTTAGAGCAACATTATAGAGGCTGAGTTTGACATAAGAATCAACAAATCAGTGAAACACCACCAGTTTTTCCTTTCTTTGTGGCAGACAGATTTCATCACAGCCGTTTAATCATCTTAATCACATGTTGGAAAGAAGAGAAGAAGACCTGTACAAACCTTCACAAAAATCAAAAGACAAACTATGTATTTTTCCCCATGGAGGGATTTAGAGAGGGTTTCTTAACGTGTTTTTGCCGCTAAGAGAACTCACAGATACTGTTGAAAAAATGAGAAAAAGCACGACATGGCAACCTATAGTAGAATACTTTTATTTGAATAGTCCTCCTTATAATTAACCAAGCTTTTAGTCTCGTAACCATACCTTAATCATGTCTCTCTTACTTGCAGATTAACTTCACAATAAATGTTTCCAACAGTTTTTAAAGACACATACAAAGGATCTAGTACACAAACTCATCAGATCTGAAAATGCTTCAATGTGTTGTTCCAAAGAACATGGACCAACACTTTATGTTTATGGTTTAGTTAAGAAGAAAAATGTCCAAAAATCTTGGAAGTCTGTGAAAAATAAAGTTCTAAAGTCTGCAAAGCAAACAACAAAAAGTGCAAACAGAGCATCAGGACAAACAACATAGTTTAATATATAGGAGAGGGTTTCTGAGTTAACTTTTGCAGCTATAAAGTGGAAATCATAAGTTCTGACCTTGCTCTTTTGGCAGGAAAATTGTGTTATTTGCTCTTTGATGAGGTAAATTTCCTCACATACCAGCCATATGAAGCACTACCCCAATAAAATCTTGCAGCTTTTAAAATGAAAGAAAAAGTGTTAACATGCTGGTCAAAAAGCAGAATAAGCTCTGAGTCCGCCGCAGGAATCAGGCCAGTTTCTATCTGCCACAACTGAGGTCACTCCCTCTACAATTGCCTTCTGCTCTAGCTAATCTGAGTTTCCTCTTTTAACTTTTTAAAACCATTAGACACCTCATAAAACTCAAGACTGAGAATCATTCGCTATTTAGCTTTCATTTTACTAACATCTTGAAATGATAATCAGGAGTCAAATGGCTCTGCTGTAAATTCTCTTTGTTTAGGTGTGAATGAGAAAAAAAAGTGTTACGCAATAAAAGCAGGAAAAAAAAATAGCTTCGTAATTTCTTGGAAAGAAATGGTTCCACCTTTGAGGAGGGAAGGTAATTAATTAGCCACAAGTTTGGAAGTGAAAGTTGAATATATTACACACAAAAAAGGTGGTTTGTGTCCAGTCCCCATGTGCTTTCCTTCCAAGTTTAAAAAGAACCTCTCTTGTAGAATCTATTACTAAGTTTTATATCAACACATATTCTGTGAAGTGGCAGACAACTTTTTTTAAAAATGCAACCAGCCACAAAACAGGCTCACAATCCAGTAGACAAAAGAAGAAGAAGGGTGGAAAAACTATTTGATTTACTAAACGAAACCTGAAAGCAGAGCCACATCTGCCCAGCAGATCAGTGTGAAAGCATTTGCTTCTGTTTATCAAGTTATTCCAGTGTATCAGAGAGACAAAGCCTATGTGGAAACCTATCAATGCTTTTCTTTTTTTTTTTTAAGCCAGGGGCACAATAAAGCATTGCAAAGGTCGGACGACTGTCTGTATTTGACCCTAAAACTTATGTAATACATTTTTGGATAGTCTATCTTTGTTCTGTTGAGCTACTGCCCTGCTTTGCTAAATCTATCAAAAAATGTTCAGGGGTTGAAAAGAAATGTGCTGGCATGACAAGAAAGACTTGAAGTGAGCCGTAAAACCAGTGAGGACAGGGATTGATACTGGCCTTGTGCTGGGACTCTCTCCTCGTAAAATCAGCAGCATCTCTCTGAAAGTGCTAAGTGTGTGCACGTATAATGCACACAGACAGACAGACAGACACACGCTCGACGCACACGCGCAAACACACACACACACACACACACACACACATACGCTTGCATAAGATTATTTTTGTTTCTTTTATGCTCCGTGACATTTGTGTTTTCCGTGCAGCCTAAGTGACACTCAAAGATGAAATGTCAACTAAACAAGTGACGCTTTTGAAAACATAAAAAATTGTTCTGTTGGAAAGTGAATCATTAGTCTTCAAAGCAGAGGGGAAAACAGGACATGGAGCCAAATTTACAATGAATGCTGGGTTGAATTATTTCTCTAATAAGTGCTTTCATGGTATGATCAAACATGCAAAAAATGATGATGATGATGTAAGAATGACTCAGTGATTAAGGCATGCTGTATGTGCGTACATTATAGTCATGTCATTAATCCATAAGAAAACTGCAAAAAAAATGTGTGTATGAAAGCATTTGTTCCTGTGTGTACACACTGTTGATGTGTATGTGCTCTGTCAAAAGGTGATGGAGCAGATTACATGACGCTGTCTGGCTCAGCTGTGGGCTAACAGATGACTTGGCATGCACTGATTTGTCACAGCTGGAGCTTGATTAGCATCCTCAGTGGCGGCAGCTTGTTGATAGATCAGGAGAAGAAGGGAGGACAGGGGGAGGACAAGCAGGGAGGAGGGTTAAGAAATGAGCTGAGGGATGAAGATATATGACAAAGAGCATTTGGGGGAGATGGATGAATGGAGAGGATGTTCCGTTGTTTGGAATAAGAACGAGGTGTTGCCGCCAAGTAGGAGATGGAGCAGTGACAAAATCTACAAAAAGACAAAGGGTAAAGGAGCAGATAGAGAAGTAAAGGGAAGGAGAGAGAATGAGTGGCCTGTGGCTTAGATGAATAATGTTAAAAATATAGGGAATAAAAAATGCATGCAGGTAAACACATTTGCCAGCCCTTGCCTAACACTGAAGATATACTAGAGCCTTGTACAAAAAAAACCTTGGACATAAAACAGTCTTTATCAATAAATAAGAGAGCGTTATCACCTCAATATTCCGTGTAAGAATGCAGTTAATGCTGTAGTCCTGGTCCAAGTCATCAGTGCTCGGGTCCAAGTCGAGTCACGAGTCAGGAAATCCTCAAAAATCAACAACTGAAAGTCTTGTCGTAGCGGCTGCCGTTACAGACATGACATGTTTAGCCTTGCCGTGGAAACACAAGATGTTACATCAAAACCGCTGCAGAAGGAAGCACGAACTGCTAATGAAAGCTGCTGTACTACTGCTGTATGTGCTGCTGTGATAAAGTAATGTAAATTATACGTGGATACATTAGCTCGTCAGTCAACATTATTCACTTCCTTAGGGCTGGTTCGTTCTTTGATCTTGACTTTGGTCAGCTCGAAGTTCATTTTCATCGGGGGTGGAGTAGCAGAGAGAATGACTCCCATGATCCCCCGCCAACCTTGATGTCATGTTTTGTTATTGTTGTGATTGAGAACCCCTTTGGCAGCAGTATTGACATACTGTTCATCGAAGAGGAAATAAGAAGAGAAATGCAGAGATCAAAAGATAAAAGCTGGATTTAATTTGCAACAAAAAAAACAAATATTTGTGAATTTCTTGTTTTTAATTACCAAAAAATGAAAATGCAAACTCCTGCGGGCTGTTTAAATAGCACAAACACATTGATCAGATTTCAGTGATGAAATGTTGCCTCCTTTTCTTTTAAGAGTCATCAAAATAACTTTTCAATAAGATGCCAAAAAGACATGAATATTAACATCATACACAAATGGAAGTTTTTTTTTTTTTGTTTTTTTTTCCACAACCTGTGGATTTGAATGGACTACCCCTGCTCTCTCTCACTCACAGCAACTGTATCTTCTTAAAGCTCTGTACTTTTGGATTCTAATCTATGTTCTTTAAAATATGTCTTTAAAAGTTTAAAACAGACGACTTTAGTGATTTCTTTATAATCATATGTTTTTCTCTTTTTTTCTGTAGGATTTGCGAGAACCAGGAGTCAGTCAGACAGAAACAGAAGAGCAGCCATCAACGCCTTCACCGACACGCAGTCAACAGGTACTGAATCCATCAGCAGTGAGATTCAGAGCTGGCTTTGTTGCAAGGGCTTTATAACTGAAAAATGAAAGCTCAAGTGGAAGTTCAGAGGGAGAGATGTGTGGCAGAGAAGCACTGATTAAGATAAAGAGATGGGGGTATACTTGTGATTCAAGCACAACAGGATATTGAATATTAAAGCTTGATCTGCTTATTTGTCCCACTTATCGACATTGTTAGCTGTTGGAGTTTAAGCAGGATTAGTGAGGCACAACGTATGGTGACATTAAGGCACTTACAACCCATACTGTCCGAATGCAATAATATGCATTTCTCACCATTTCCACAATTGGTGAGGCATTTAAAAAAGCTATAAACACAGCCATGATACTCATACTTTGTGATACATGGTGACTAAACATCGAGATTTTATCACAACACCACAAAGCAGTTTCAAATAATCAGCATCCTGTGTGTTCTGATTTCTTGTTGCTGCGGCACAAAATTGAGAAAACCAACAAAAGATAACACTGTTTGTGTATGTGTATGGGTTGTTATCTAGAGTCCATTTATTACTTTCTCAACCAAGAATTGAATCAGTGTGTCCTTTTGTTTTTAATATCTCAAATTTCTCCTGAGGATATGCTCAGATTTCAAAACATGCAGCACACTAAAAATCTAGACAATATGTCTCATCAGTCAAGCTTGGAGGCCTGGAAAAAACTGGACATTGCAGCGCTCCCTGGGGTGTATGAAGTCAGATTTAAATGGTGGTAGCAGACCTCGTTTTAAAGTTTGTAACCCATCCCAGCAGTTTTCCTGTCTCTTGCTTTTTCTTGGTACTGACCCATGTCTTCCCCCCGTGTAAAACCAGCTACAGCACGCCCAGCCCCCCCAACTCCCCTACTTTATCTCTTGATCAAAAGCTCAATTGTTTTCTTTCTGTTTGACTTTTTCTCTATCATTGTAACCCACCATTCTTCTCCCCTCGATGTTCTTCCAGGCGTGACAGAGTGGACGTCTTGGTTCAACATCGACCATCCAGGAGGGAATGGAGATTATGAGCGCTTGGAGGCCATTCGTTTCTACTACAGGGAAAGGGTCTGTTCCCGGCCCATAGCCATGGAGGCTCGGACCACAGACTGGGTGGCAGCTGCAGACACGGGAGAAGTGGTCCACTCTAGTCTGGAGAAGGGCTTCTGGTGCATCAACAAAGAACAGCCTCAGGGCCGCATCTGCTCCAACTATCATGTCCGCTTTCAGTGTCCCCCAGGTAGCTCGTCTGACAGCAAGTCAGGACTGTACAAGCTGTTACTTCATAAATATAAACATTCGATCACATGAATGAAAACATGCTAACACGTGCAAGTGAACACTGGATACATACAGTACATGTTATATGATGTGCTTTCTGTTAACATCACATGATGCCTGCGCCGCTCAGGATATCACACTCTGTCCTTCAATGTGTGTGTTTAGTGCAGAGTTACTGGACCGACTGGAGCGAGTGGGGTCCCTGTTCAACATCCGTCTGTGAGGATGTAGGCATCCAGGTCCGCCAGAGGAAATGTGTCAACACCCAGCCAATGCCTCTCCTGCTGGTGCCAGCATGTCAGGGGCATCATTCAGAAAGGAGGGAGTGCTCAAACCCTCCCTGTACAGGTGAAATTTACTCATATAGTTACACAATGTCATGTAATGTGAAAGAACAACCGGTTGGTGGGCATGTGAGCAATCCATACCCACAGAAACCAATGGGATACTTCCATTGCAAATTGTTGTCTGCTAACTTGAAAACACTGCGTTTAAGGCCAACCATTTGGATCAAATTGTTCATTTGTTACAGTTGAGGTTTTTCCATTAAAAACTGAAGTTAATCAGGAAGCTATCCTCCAGTAAAGAACGTCGGTAAAACAAAACCTTGTAATGGTAATTGCGACCGTACCTGATTACACTAATTGCAATCATAATTCTTCCAAATCCAGCTGTTTAATCAGCTTTCCACTTTGTTTGCCTGATATACTATTATAATCCCCATTTAGTCACAGTCGGTGAACTGTTTCTACCGTTTAAATGACATGCATACTCACATTATTCTTGTTTCTCTGTGTGAACAGCCAAGTGGAGTCCGTGGGGTAGGTGGGGAACGTGTTCAGTGACCTGCGGAGGAGGTCGCAGGATACGGAGGAGGACCTGTGTGAGAGACTCGGCGCCAGTTCATTGTGCTGGACGGCCTGTTGAAATACAGAAATGTGGGAAGGGTCAATGCCCAGGTATGCTGGTTTTGTGCTGTAAATGTTGTACTATCTCTGTTTTAACACTGTTTTAAAATTTCTGTCTTTCTCCCTAAAGCCAAATGTCAGATTGTATGCACCGAGGGCCGGCCCAGTGAGGACTGCAGCAGGTGTGTGTGTGAAGGCCATGTGCTGCATGGAGAGGTCCACACTGTGACTAATGTCCCTGTGGTAGGAGCATGGGTGGCTCTGGCCAACCAGCCTAAGGTGATCCGAGCGCGAACAGATGCCAAAGGTCGGTTCAGGCTTCCAGGAGTCTGCTCCTCCAGCTCTACCTTGATCTCCATCCGGAAAGAGAAGTTCGCCCCAATCACTGTGTCCACCTCCAGTAACACCACAGGGTTGTCTTGGGTACATGCTGTCCTCAAGTCTGCTGGTGAGTGCTAAAAACATCAGCCGTAAATCTTCCAGTAAAAAACAGGAGATTGATAAAACTACAACATAAACAGTCTGGTCTATTGTAAGAATTCCCACTGTCTGGAGCACTGTTGCATAGGGACCAAATAAAACCAAAACTTTACACAGCTTTACAGTAACTCTCACTACAATCATATTTCATAAGCCCTGAGACCAATGTGAGGATAAAGAGAAATGTTTGACTTATTTTTATGAGGTTCTAAAAACTATGCAACAACCATTAACATTACTCAGAGTAAAGACTTCAGAGTTTGCTCCTTTTTGCTTTCCACAGAGAAGCCGTACATTGTGAAGCACCCTGAGGACAAAGTACGTTATGAAGGAGCGCGGGTGCTGTTTTGCTGCAAGGCAACTGGATCACCAATACCTGACAAATACTACTGGTGAGATGAATGATAATGCTGGCACATTATCAAGAACACGTTAACACAAAAAAACAGCTAGCATCAATGTTCACTTTAACATTTTTCCATTTTAGGGTCTAGAAATTCAAATTTCACTTGCAGTATAAGATAATATAGGCATTTTTTATTTTATAATGTACATTTTAATGTAGCCTATATGTATATCTCTATAAGTATTAAAAAAACACTTGATGTTTATTTTCTATGGCTCTGTGACTACTTTCAAGGTTCCACAATGGGACTTTGCTGGACAGGAAGGTGTACAAGTATGAAGAGGACCTTGTACTGCGTGACCTGAAGCTGGAGCAATCGGGACAGTACTACTGCAAAACCAGCAGCCCTGCAGGCAGCATCAAGTCCTCTCCAGCCCTCCTTACTGTGATTGGTATGTATAGTATTGGAGCTGGAGCTTGAAATAACCCTGTAACTTAGATTCTACCATTAGCTTAAGGTTTTACAGGAGGGAGCCAATCCCAGTTGACATTGGCCAGGTACGGGGTAAATCTTGGACATGTTTGTCACATGATTAAAAATGCTATTTGTGGAGCAATATTAATAACATTGATATACTTGAGAGTCGATTTTTTTTACACTTAGAAGCAGTAAGGCATTAAACCCTTAGACAGTGTTCTTGATCATTATTTACCAAATAAACTTATATAGCAAATGACAGGAAAGTGTTGAACTCCAAGTGTTGAAGAGCGAAAAAAAATGTGTTCTGGTGCCGAAAGTTTGTTCTCACAGTCATGAAGACAGACAAAAAAACTCCCTTCTTGTCAATGTCACAGTGATGTAATGTAAACTGTAATTCATCATCGTCAGCCTGTAGAGAAACTAATTCACAGTGATTATATTGAGTGGTACACAGGGATTATTTTTGAGAATGGCTGCAATCCCACTTCATTTGACAATGACGTATTAAGTCAAAGTTCTACACAGGCTTAAGCAAAACCACTGACAAAAAGCAAACAACCGCAATTCATTTGACTGAATAAAGAGCTGCTGCCTCTGACATTGAATACACACTTTACAAGGAATGTCAGCACTAAGCTCAAACTAAGTCATCCATGAGACATGGCCCTGCATTTAAATGATTCAAATCAAAACCACAGTGTCCTACATCTGAGGGAGAGAGAAATCCAGTAAAGAGGCTGTCATTAGGGGCGAAAAAACATTGCCTTAGAAAAAAATCGGAAAATAAAAATATATCAGGGCTGACATAATGTGGCTGCACTTGGAGCAGTACGTTTTTATTATGTTTACATTGGTTAAAGTTTCAACCAAACTGGGATTCTTTATTGTCTAAGATGGCTCTGGACACTGTAAAACCTCAGACCCCGATTTATCCACCCAGATGAAATCCAAGTTTGTCAATAAATCCTGTTTTTTCTCTCCCTCAGTCATAAAACTATGCTTTCCACATCCGTGTGGGAGGGCTACACATTGCTAATATCCTTCAAGAGCTTGTTTGCCAAGAAACATATTAACAAACAGGGTATTCATGGAAGATCACTAAAGCAATCTATCTCAAGTTTCTAACCAATCCCAGGACTCCGAAAGTAATTATTGCAGGAGACATTGTGTGTGCATTTCAACACCTGAGACTAAGAGCAGGATGAAAAAAAGGCTGTAATGCTTTAACTAAAAACAGTTTCTTCTTACATTCGTCAATATACAAAAAAAATATAATATATAATATATATTATAATGTTTACCACAATTTATGTGGGTGACAAATGGAAACATATTTTATAATCAAGGGAAACTTAAAAACATATTGCCATCCTATTCCACTCATTCATTGATTTACAATTACCTAGTACCACACAATCTTAAAATAAAAATGTAAAACATTGGACTTGCTTTCATATAAAGATAGGTTTTGTAAGAGAAAGTATTACTCAGCAGACCAGTCTTCAACATGGCTAGTCTGTGCTCATCTTTTAAAACCAAGGCAAGGACAAAATTAATCTTAATAGCTAACTGCCCAATATTTTGTGCACTCGGCACATTTTTTATGTTTTTATACAAGAATACTAATTCATCCTTTCTATGTGGCCTATCAACACTAGCTTAATGTAATATCTCATTTTATCCACAGCTAAAGGAACACCAGCATGTAATTCAACCCCTGAGACGCACTTTGTCAGACTGCCGCCAGACTGTGTTCAACCTGGGATTGACTCCATGTTCTACAACGCTGGCCGCTGCCCTCACAACAAATGTGCTGGCTCCCTAGACTTTGATATGCGCTGCAGAGATGGAGATGGGTTCTGCTGTGGGGTCCAAAGTATGGAAAGTCGTACAATTGACTGTGGGAGCTACAGCCTCCCTATCCGGGCTGTGACCCAATGCACCTGTCAGAAGTGTTTGCAGCCAACTGTTCTGGTTCGTGGCAGAGTGGTCACAGCTGACAATAATGAACCTCTGCGTTTTGGCCATATCTACATTGGTAAAGACAGGGTTGGCACTACTGGATACCAAGGAAGTTTCACCTTAAAAATTACTCCTGACACACAGCGATTAGTGGTGAACTTTGTTGACCCCACTGAAAAGTTTCTTGACACCCCTAAGGTGTTCATCTTTGATAGGAAAGGTGGTTCCATCTACCATGATGTAAAGGTAATGAGAAAGCAGACACCAATTGATATTAATGCAGGTGAGACCAACTCTATTTCCCTTGGTGAAATGATAGGGGAAGATCCCATTGGTCAATTGGTAATTCCTCCAAACTCTTTCCACAAGGACAATGGGGAAATATATGAGGGAACTGTGAAAGCCAGCGTCACATTCATTGACCCAAGAAATATCACTACTGCCGCTGCAGCCCCTGGTGATCTTAACTTTGTGGATAACGAGGGTGACATGCTTCCTTTGAGGACCTATGGCATGTTTTCTGTGGATTTCAGAGACGAGACCAACAAAGACGTTCTTGGAGCCGGAGCTGTTCAAGTCCTTCTTGACACACAGCATGTCAAAATGCAAGAGCACATTCCCAAAATGAAGCTGTGGTCTCTAAACCCAGACACAGGAGTCTGGGAAGAGGAGAGCGACTTCTCCTACACCACAACTACTGGTGGCCACGGACGGAGCAAACGAGAGGAGCGCACATTTCTTATAGGCAACATGGAGATCAGAGAACGTCGGCTTTTTAATTTAGATGTGCCTGAAAACAGACGTTGTTATGTTAAAGTCCGTGCCTACATGAGTGACAAGTTCCTATCTAGTGAACAGCTAGAGGGTGTTGTGATAAGTTTAATAAACTTGGAACCAAAACCAGGTTATTCCTCCAATCCTAGGGCATGGGGACGCTTTGACAGTGTCATAACTGGACCCAACGGAGCCTGTTTACCAGCTTTTTGTGATGCCCAAAGGCCTGATGCTTACACAGCTTATGTTACAGCAATGATGGGTGGAGAAGAACTGGAGGCAGCTCCTTCCTCCCCCAAGATGAATCCAAATATCATTGGAGTTTCTCAGCCATATCTCGATAAAATAGACTACCAGCGCTCCGACCATGATGATCCAGCTCTGAAGAAAACGGCCTTCAGAATCAACTTGGCAAAGCCTAATCAAAATAATCTAGATGAAACCAATGGGCCAATATATCCTTATCAGAGCTCAATAGCTTGTGAGAATGCTCCTGTTGATGCAAATCACTTCAGATTCTTCAGAGTTGAAAAGGACAAGTATGAATACAATGTTGTTCCTTTTGAGGAGAATGATTTAACAACCTGGACAGGGGACTACCTCTCCTGGTGGCCTAATCCCCAGGAGTTTAGAGCTTGCTTCATTAAGGTCAGGATTCAAGGACAGAAGGAAGTGATGGTCAGGTCAAAGAATCTTGGAGGAACACACAAGGAAACAACAGGCAAACTTTATGGCATAAGAGACATTCGCAGTACCAGGGACATGCGAGAAGCCAACACCTCAGCAGCCTGTGTGGAGTTCAAATGCAGCGGCATGTTGTTTGATCAAGCTGAGGTTGACAGATCCCTAATATCAGTCCTTCCACAGGGGAACTGTCGCAAGATAGGCACCAACAACCTCCTACAAGAGTATCTCATCAAACATCCACCAGTAGCTCAAAACAATGAATCCAATGCATTCACGATGCTAGCCCCTGTTGATCCTTTAGGACACAACTATGGCATCTACACAGTCACAGACCAGAATCCTAGGTTGGCCAAGGAAATTGCTATAGGCCGTTGCTTTGATGGAACATCAGATGGTTTCTCCAGAGAGATGAAGTCAGATTCTGGAGTGGCATTGACGTTCAGCTGCCCAGAGAGGAAAATTAACAGAGAAAGCCTTTTCCAACGTCTGCAAACCAACCCAGGTCAGACACTATCTCAGATGGCAAGGGACATGCGAGAATCTGAGGGTCTGCAGGTGCAGAGATCATCCACCCGGGTGGTGGCCTATCCTTCAGAGCAGCGGACCGGGAGTCGCAGAGTTAGCTCTACAACAAGGAGAAGAGTGTCTATGCGCACACAACAACGCCAATAGATGTGTCAGCAAGTAGGCTAAGATGATATAATGGATGGTTCATTGCATTGATGGAATTATTCAAGGATTCTATGCTATACAATTCTAGGACTTTAGTAAAGACTGTTCTGATGGCATCATGTTGAAGAAGTAAAAGTTTCCCATTAGTTGAGGAGTGTGAACTCCCTCCTGACTATGGAAACAAAAAAAACAAGGAAGACAGCATTTCAGCAAAATCAATGAATTGAAGAGATTCATTAGACTTTTATTTACTTGAAGGGTTTGGTATATCAATTTTCTCCCTCCCTCCTATTTTTTAAGAAATGCAATGACTGGCATTCATTTGATTAGCTGTGGTCACATTTTTTTGAGAAATATACTTTATTGATGTTGAGAATGGAAGTTTAATAGTTTTAATTCTGTGGCATTCCACTGTGGGTGTTTTGCTGACGTCTCTCTACACTTGGATAGAAATCAAACCTCCTTAAACTATAAATATTACGCTAGTCCCACAAAGAAATCATAATTGGCCGTTGCTTTCCACTGAACTTCTACGCAACATCAAAAAAGGAATCAACTTGAAATCCTTGTTGCAAGTACAGTGGACACTGAGCCCTTTTACAAACTGGGAAACTCTCTCAACCTATTAACCTCTCTCCTGGGTATGCCACAAAGGGAACAGAGGATGTTTTCAGTCACGCTTGTTAAAATGTTTTTTAAGCATGCCCTATTGCCAACTGTGAGTCAGCCACATGTCCTTCCACACCTACTTAAAAGTACAAGATCCAAACCTTTGCTTAGACAAGAATAGATTCTCATTGCTAAGAACTGGTTGTTTAAAATGAGAAAATTTGAGCGTACATAAGGTAGGACTTTGTCAACTGCACATTCCACATTAGCATCACGAAACAAAATGTTACTCAAAATGACATTTTTCTGAATATTTTTCTTTCACAGAAGCCATTACAAAGACTCAGACTTAGTGTCTGAATTAACCTTTTTGTATTATTGGGTAATATTTTGGGGTAATATTGTGAGCGGTCATAAGTGCAATAACTATGTAATTTAACTTAACAATTCTTAATGAAGCCTTGAAGACAAATTCAAAGTACATAGTAAGTGCTTCTGTTCATTTGAGCAAGAACTCCTTCAGTAAGCGTAGCTGAAAGTTTGGTCAAGGTGTTTGTACAAGATCTTGAATGAGACTTGTTTTGAGTTATTTTAAGCAAATAATTTAACAGCTCTGTAATCATTTTTCAATTCTCTTAACTGCATAGACTCTATAAACCTCTTTGTATATTGCTGCATGACTGTGTTGATTTTACAAATTGTACACCATAGCAATCTTTTCAACTCCAGAGAGCAATTGTAGGAAGAAGCTTCCATTGCTGATAAAAGCACCAAACTTGTTAATCTGCTAAACAGGAACTTGCAGGCCCATGGGAGAAGCCTTTCAAGCTAAGGTCATCCAAAGCCAAATGAAGGAGAAGGAACTATGCTGGGAAGTAAATATAAGCCTTCTATTGATAGGAAAGTAAATTTCATTTTCTCTTGAGTAGTCATACATTATACCCTAACTTCAACAAACTGCAATACATTTTTATTTTGACGATACAAAGTTAGTAAATAACCATACTGGGCCCAAAGGTATTATGGTTGAACAGATACACTTCCAAATTGGCATCCAGTCATTTATGAAGTTAACTCTAGACGTGTTTTTTCCAACATTTTCAATCCTAATGGACAAAAGATTTATTGTTTGTGAGCTCAAAATAGTGTGATGTTTATGTATAAATTAAAACCAGATATTTATAAAGCGACATTCATAATTGTACCCACTTCAAACAACAATCTCTTTCCAAAACGCACTTGGAGAGGCAAACTCCTGAAAACACTTGAAATAAAGTAATATGGTTTGACATCACATTGAACCTTCACTATTACCACCGAACTCTCCAATCACAGGCCTGTAGACAATTAGCAACAGATTAGTCCGGATCTCCAGATGAAAACAAACATAACCCTGCAGCAGATGTAGCATCCACCCGATAAAAAAAGACGATGATTGAATCCAGGTGTGGGAAGAGATAAGTCCTATAAAAATGCAATGGTGTGTGAGGTCAGCTGAGGAGGACCGACAGCTGTAGAGCAACTGGAGGAAATGTTAGACCAAAGACTTCAAGAGGCCGAGCAGGGGAGGGGATTATCCAGTGATGGATTTAATCATTTTTGGGGTACAGTGGAAAAAAGGAAGGGAAAATATTAGTGGTCTTTGGCCTAACAGTCAATCACTTAGAAAACATCAGGCTTCAAAAGTGGTTGCACATGGAAGAATGCAGGTTTTAGAGGAGAATGCTTTGACAGGAGAATTGGCTTATTCATAAGGAGAAGCCTTCAGAGGGGTTTGAAGGACAAGGTCACAATAATAGGCTGAGTAAACCATTATGTAAGGTTCAGCATGGGAAAGTAAGCTGGGATCTTTAACAGTTTCTCTGTCTTCTTGGGAAACTTCAAAGCAGATTAAACATCCTTTGCAATGTTTGGTTTAATCATTAATGAAAAGAATCAAATATAGTTTAAGCCTGAATTCAACACATAAAACACATAGCAAAGTCTCTTTTGTTTCGAAAAAAGAAATATTCTCATTTAATATCGGTAAGAATATCAGTTGGGCTAGCCACTGACATAGCCCCTGTGAGGAACTTTCGGTTTGCGGTACCTCTCTGCTGATTTTGTCTTGTACATGTGCAAAAATGTTGTTTTTTTTTCATTAAAAAAATCTTATACTACTTTCTTTCAACAGTCAAATGTATTACTCATTTCAATTCTTTGTTTGAAGTCAAATGTAACCAAAGGTGTTTTCTACAGCATGCTGATAATCTCTTTGTCTGATACCTACACCGCAGCTACAGCAGTTTCACACATTAAAAACAAACCGACATCGGATTCAGCCTGTTAGCTTGGCTAAGCATAAAGACTGGAAACAGGGGAAATAACTTGTCAGGGTCCTCTGTAAACCCTGCAAGTAGAGAATGACATGGTGCTATTCTTCAGTGAAGATCACAGACTGTATAAAACATGGACGTCACCCACTGGTTTCGTAAGAGGGGTTTAAAGCCAATAATGATGGTCACCATATTGGAAATGCTGTCTCCACCTTACTTTCAATCAACCTAGAAACATGCAAAGAGTTGGAGGTTAGGTGAGCCTTAAGCCTCCCGGCAAACGGCTATAATGCACCTACCTGTCTGCCAAATCAGCCACACCCTTATCATGCAAGTTATTGCATAACTCTCAGCTTTAATTAATTCAAAACCGATAAGTCATCTAATTTGATTTTACCCCCATACGGTTTTCTCAAATAGAGATATTATCTATAAAAACTAAATGTGTTTATTGAACCAGGATGTAAACATGTTTAACATAGGTGCTAATGGAGCTTCCTGGGGTGTGCAGCCCTCCTCAAGTAGACACTCAAGGAACTGCAGCTTTCTTGCAGTTTTGCAGTTCTGCATTGGCTTTATTTTGGAACACTGGAGGTTTCCAAGTCAAGAAAATAATCTTTGCCAAACCATTTTGACACATTCCCCAAATAAAACCTCAACATGTCATTTTCAGATGTATTTAAAATAGCATTGCATACCTGTTTTTACTGTATAATGTAGCTTCATAACTATCACACAGATGAGTGTTATCAATCTTAATTTGTTACATTTTCATTTACCAAAATATTGAACTACTCTTTTATTGAAAGAAATATACTGTTATGGTTTTAGCACTGCTGAGCTTCCAGTGAACGTTGGGGAGTGCATAAAATCCTAACTGACCTTATTTAACTTCAGGTAGAAATCACCAAAATAGTGTAAGATCGAATGGATTTCTTTTCTCTTTCGCACAGGTCTAAAGGAGAACATAATTTATTCGACCGTTATCCTGAACCCTTTCCGCCACTTCCTCGAGATATTTTTATTTTCCACTGTACTTAGGAAGTCAGCTGAGCTCCAGTAATATCAACACATGGATACAATCCTGCTTATTCTCTGTAAACACTTAACTATTGCATGGTGACGCTGATCGTTGGTTTCTCTCTGATTTACGTTGGTATGTGTAAATTGTGTATTTTACGAAATCTACTATAACTGTAGAAAAAAGGAACTGTAAATAAATCATTTTGTGTAAACCTCTTGATTCATATTCTTTTTCTTTTGGTCTTATATTTATGAAACAAACTTAAAACAAATATACTTAAGTCATAAAAACAGTTATTTATTTTGTGTCTGAAACAATGCAGGCAAATGTTCAGCTTTGCAAAAGTCACAACAATGAAAAGTGTTCAGAAAGTTAAGCAATGGCAGGTTACAACAAACTGATACATGAAGTGTGGTTTGCCAGTAAAGCAAGTCTAAGATGGTTTTAACATGGGGGGGGGGGAGAGAACAGCGCAGTCTGTTCAAGTCCTGTTGCGGATCAAATTATGGAAGTTGGTCTGGTTGCTGGAGAGGTGACAGGTAACTTTCCTGAGTACTGCTGAGGTGTCCTTGAGCAAGGTACTGAACCCCCAACAGCTTTGGCAACTCCCTATGTAGCAGTGTGTAGCAGCCCCGCTCTGACATCTCTCCTCTAATGCATGTGTTTACAAGTCCGGTTAGTGCATGTGTAATTTGAGCCTTTGTGTGTGAGAAGCATGACTCCCAATAACAGAGTGTAAACCAGAATGTCCCCTCTGGGATTAATAAAGTATGTACAAAAAAAGAAGAAAATGAAAAGAAAACAAACAACAGGGTTCCAGATGCTGGTTAGTTTGCACGCCTCATGTACAGAGGCTGCAGTCATCAAAGCAGGCGGCTGAGGTGCCCCACTCTTTTGCTCGACCTGATTTCTGACTCTGTCCACTGTCCTGTCTCTCCAATAAAGGCACACAAAACAGATGTTCAGAAAATAAAAATACAAACAACAAACTAATAACTCAATGCAAGCCAATTAAATAAGCATATTAAATACATTTAAGGAAACACATGGCAAAGACTCACATTTATGCTGAATGTTTTGTTGATATTTAAAAGTGAAAAAAACAACAACTGTGCAGAATTCTGAAGAATGGTTGCATTGACTTTTTAACCCAAACAAAATAGTGCATTTACAATGTGTATCACCATTACCCTCCAGGTGATGAGTTATAATGCACACAGCAAGCCCTCCTGTGCACATCACAGACATTTTTTTAGCCATTGGAATTATTGTTGTAATAAAGTTACACAACAGGGGGCACAGCAGAGAGCAAAATGAGAGTGCTGAGCCACACTGTCACTGACACCTTCAAGACCAGGCACTGTGCCTCTGCCAGGAGTGGAGCTGACAGAAAATATACAGAGTGACTGCCCTCACCACTAAGGAATAAAGAAAACATACACGCATCATTGCACACACACACACACACACACACACACACACACACACACACACACACACACACACACACACACACACACACACACACACACACACACACACACACACACACACACACACACACACACACACACACACACACACACACACACACACACACACACACACAAAAGTGGAAAAACACATTTTTCCTCAGTCAATGGTGCATTTCAGGTCGTGAACCCTCCTCCGGCGCCTCACTAACCGTGTCTTTTGGGTCCCATTGCGTCAGTAACAGACAAACCTGTCTGAGCACAGGCCAGGGATGGTGAGAAACGCTGATGGAGACGTCTTTATGCCGGGACTGCTACCAGTGGTAATTGCCGTGCCCTTCATGTGTGTTCTACTTGCTGGAACTGTAAGGTTTAAAAACATTTTAGAAATACAGAAAGGGCTTTTCTGGTGCGTGACATCACTGGAATAATTGCCCCAGAGGTTTCCAAAGGTTTTAACTCAACAAGGATGGCTGTGAGTTGTTTGGTTTGAGGCTTTATTGAAGACCAGGACGGGTTATTAATGAACATGACATCATTTTAGTTTAATTAGATATTAGCTGCTGAGCGAAGCCTTCATCACACTTCTCCAATAATAAATCTTTTACTGTAATAAGGGGATGTTTTTTATAAATGAAAAGGCTAACTGAATATTTCAATCCACATGTTGAAAGTATTTACCTCAAGTTTCCAAACAGACCACAAATGATGAGTAAAAAAACATGTTGAGTCAAAATAGCTCAGTTTTGTTACTCATGATCTGCTCATTGTTACTCATTTGCTTTATGCATGTTAAAGATAAGGAGTGCGTTATTGCATATATTGTAATGACTCCTCTACCTCTTATACGCCTCACAAAAACATGACTTGTTTGCAGATGCATACAAGTGAAATTAGAATGGAAAGGAATAAATTCTGAGAATAATGATACAAATTCAAGAAAGGTATTGAGGTTAACTACGGGCAGCTTTTAAAAAAAGATGTAATGACAAGCGCAGATATGACTGCTTGAATATAAAGTGTGACCTTATGTGTACTTTGATTGTCACTTTATGTAATTTCCACCAGAGATAACTATGCAATTTTCTTCAAGATCCTTTAGCAAATAAATAAAATGTTTTGGTTAGTTCTATAATATCAGCAGAAAGTAAAAAAATAAATAGTGTTTTGTTTCATATTTTCAAATCTGTTTGCTCTGAATTTAAGCAGTGAGCTTATATCTCTCCATGTTCACTGTGTGTGATGAAGTCTCTATCTGGGAAGCCAGCGAGAATAACTCAGAAACAATTTCATGATGTCATGTCTTCTCCGGACAATCCTCTTGTTATCGTCCTAAGTTCACAGCACTCAAAGGAGCAACAGTCTGTGAAAATAGCTGATAAGGCTTTGAAATGTTTCAGATGGCTTAGGTTCGTGGAACAAGTCTCAAAAATAGCCGGAGTTGGTTTGTTACCGTAGTTTTAAAATTGGCTGAAGGATGAATCATTCCACTGAGGTTATTCAGCTCTTCTTGTCCGCAGGAAAAGGCTGTAAGGAAAGACGACTGGCGTGTTTCACATACACGTTCCCGTCCTCAAGCTTGACTTCATACACTTGTTGCTGTAAAAGTGAGAGGACAAAGACACAAAGAGATGAGAGCTGCAACAAACACACCACCACAAGCTTCAATGTAAAGAAGTTAGAACTCACACAGCACTTTAACCTGCCTATGTACAAGTAAGCTTACAATTAATGTTGGATTTAATGGCTTAAATATAAAGTACACACTCCCCCGTGAACTCGGAGACATTAGAACATTTGTTTTTTTTTATTCGTTTGCTTTAAAGTTAACTTCACAGAGATGCAAGAGAGAACAAGAGTTTATAAAATGATTAATGGAAAAAGATGAGATGTTTATTGAAAGTCAAGCTCTTGTTTAGACTGTTCATTGGCACATGTATCCTAACAATAGAACAGAAGAAAAATGTTTGATAGAACAAAAGGGGGAACATAATCCTAATTCGGACTGATGAGCTTTGATTCCTCATGCCATGTCAATCAGTCAGATGGCCAACATCTAATACTAGAGGATGATTTATCCACATATCACTGCCAATATTCTCCTCAACTCCCGGCAAGTAAAGCCTCTGTCCCTTGGTATAGTGGGATTTTCCAGGTTTGATCATATTCATTGATTATATTGCAGCATCTATGTTTCAGGAATGTTTCTATTGTGTAATTTATGCATGCAGAGCACAAGACAAATCTGAAATGTCTTGCTAAAAACAACGTTTTCTTAAACAAGGCATGCATATTTTATTACTGACCTGTAAGGAGGTCCCAGACTTCCCTGTTCTGAGGTTAAAGTCATAATCGTGCCAGGGGCAGAAGACCTGCAGGACACCATCAGCCTCCTCAATGTCCCCTTCACACAGAGGTCCGCCTGGGAGACACAGGAAACTATTCATCATTACTTAAATAAAGGTTATTTTCCCTCTCTAAACAATCTGACTCGATATATTCATTAGAAGAAAATGTCAATGAGAGTCTTGAATAAAACGTGAAATTGATGAATAGCTGTTTTTAAAAGAAACAGATGGGATGTATTGTGCAGAATTGTGCCATTAGAGATCTGAACAAGGATTAATTTGGGAGGATAGGTTGATGCTTTACCGGAATGGGAACAGCGAGCATCCATTGCGAAGAACTCCCCCCTCACGTAGAAGAGGCAGACATCTGAGCCGTAGCCGAGGGAGGAGTACATTAGCCGGCAGCGCTGCTTGGAAAGCACCGAGGTCGGGCCTATGAGTCTCCATGCAGCCTCGTCCGTGGTTCCCTCTTCGTCTCCGGAGCCAGAAGCCATAAGGACCGGCGATATGAGCTGGTTTTCTAATTTGCGCTGCTACAGGGCTGCTTTTTTCCGCCGGTGAAAATGGATTTGGCACTTCTCACTGTGAAAATATTCCATATTTAACAGCAGGCCGAGTTACGACGGTCAGCCCTGCCGACCGAGCTGCCTCCGCCGACCGAGATGCATCCTGCCAGCTGGGGCACAGACACGCCGTGCAGCGGGCTAAAAGCTCCAGTTAATTTAAGATGCAAAGACTTTCACAGATAAGAAGCGGCGCAGATATGCCTCACAGACTGCTACAGCTTTTGCTGTTTTCCGTTCAAAACATGTTTTTACAGCTGTTGTAAATAGAAAATCCCCACGATCAAGCAGCTGCCAGAACAAGGATGTAGGCTACAACACTTTATATTTTAAACCTTAGCAAAGAGCTTGGTATCATCTACAGCCTACACATCATTAGCCTGAATAAGCAAGGAGCCAGACATCCTGTTTCAAACCCTTTTTTGATAAGTCCTTTTTTGTGAATAAATTCACTGTTCAAAAACCTGCTTCTGTAGTCTTCCTAGTTGTGGGAAATAAGCCTGTTATGTAGCCTAGTAAACTAACCTCAGCCTACATTGTTCAAAACATTTCTTAACTAGGCTATCAGTGATAAAGCCTGTTATTGTCTTTTCATGAATAATCTTTGTCTTCCAGACAGGTAGCCTGCTTGGCTAAAAGGTTTAGTTTTAAAAGTGCAGTTTAAAAGATTACAATAATCTCTCCGTATACCAAAGTGTTGTTGAGAATATGCTTTTACTTTGTGATATCTCTGTCTGCAAAAAAAAGTTCCATCTGCAATGCATTAATTGGCTAAATTAAAATTAATAATCCATATAAAAATTCACTTTTAAAGTAAAATAGGCTACATCCAAAACCGAATGCCCTTCTGTTCGCCCATTTACCCGAGTAGCACCTTTTTGTGAATAAGTTGGCCAGCTGTCTTTGATCAAACAAGATTAATAATTAATAAATGGCACCAAAGAAGTCAAGCTTTGTGCCTCTACAAATTTGTCCAATTGGCAAATTGGGAAAACAAAATTAGCCTATACATATGATCTGCTTTTCTTCCACTTTTATTCACCTTGGCTCCAGCACTTTTTTGTGCCAGTAATAATGCTGCTGGCAATTTAGCGTAAAAGTAATGTGAGTTACAGTCTAGACTGGAGTGATACATAACAGAGGCCACTTGTTCTGATTCCTCACTTTGAGAGACTGAGTCATGTAAGGCATCCTGTTTGAGCACAGGGGAGAGCACCGTGGCGTGAAAACTTTTCATGAGTAGGAACAAAAAATGATACTGCCTTTTGTCAGAAGTTGGATCTCAGCAATACTAAATGTTAAGGAAAAATCACTGAAGAATAAATAAAGCAAGAATAAAGAAACATGAGCTAAGTGACCTAATTCTCTAGTTTTGTGCTAAGCTAACAGCCTTAGCTGATTGACAGAACAACAAAACAAGTGACTGTCCTGAACAGTATTGTGATGTTTTTTGTGTTTGTAGAGATTTCCAATTGTCAACAACTGAACATTTTTGTAATAAGCTAACAGTAGACACAAATCCTAGTGTTACTTATCCCAAGTTTAAATGACGTAGGCCTACTGTCACATCAGGCAAGTGTTAAACAGTATAGCATTATACTGTTGCATTGCTCTAGAAATACCTGAGAGAAAAACAGTAATAAACAGACAGGAGTGTTTTGGCATGATGATGAGTACAGGTAGGCTTTGATCATGACGCCTTCGCTCATACAGTGTTGAGGAAACCCCAAAGTTGTTTATTTTCAGCACTGTTGCCAACTATTACTTATGACAGGATTTAGCACTGCGGCTATGAAAAGGCTCCTCGAGGATTTCAGCCAAGACAGTATAGAGAAGTGGACAGTCTGCAGGTTTGAGGTGGCACTGACAAACTGACAGTCATCATCCACAGCTCTGCTTTGGCCTGCTGAAAGGTGAGAAAACTGCAAAGAATGCAAATTAGTTCCAAATGATCTGAGTTTTTTTTATATAGAGAAGAAAAATAAAGAAATCAAAATGATATATTGTGGAAAATTTGAATCAGTAGTCTGGGTGGGATTAATAAACAAAGGTGCAGGCAGTGAGAAACAGCCAACATGATCACAGGAGGATAAGGCTGTCTATAAATTTCTCTGACTTCTCATTGCAATACTCAGACCACTGGACAGTGTAACTATTTGCATGAGGCGAAATTTGGTGTAGAGAAATCTGGCTTCAATGAGACATTAGACTGTGACTGGAGCCCAAACTCATCCATCATTAGCCTCGTCTTGTCCACAACCCAGCAACCACCCTCTAAAGTCTCCTAATTCATCCGCCAAGGGTGGTTGGAAGACCGGCTCTACAGCCAACATGGTTTTCATTAGCTAAGCAAATGCTTTGGCCAATCTTACAACACCACTACCTGCTTGCTTTGCTCCTTGTTCAACAAGATGATGTCATTCAAGTGCTTCTTGTCTAAAATCCTGATATGAGGACAGCAGGATTTAATGCTCTAAATGGAGCTCATAAAGGATAACACTATTGTTACGCTATAACTGTGGACCGTTAATGGCCATAATGTCCTTGTGTCGCTTCAAATGCTAATCCAGACTCAACTTTGATGTTTTGAGGATAGGAAACTGAACCCACCACTGACTCCGTGGCCCGGTCCCAATGTCTGCCCTCAGAGACCTGCGTTCCCAATAACTCCCTAGGCTCTGTGGTGTCTCATGTGAAAACGATAAGTGGTTGAAGGCCCTGTCATAAACGTTAGAGCACTCTTATATAAGTCTACAATGATGTTGGCCTTGCAAAAATAAGTTACCCACAATTCTAAGCTCTTTAATGTAAAATAATGGGATGTACAGGGGCAGCAGGTTTCTGCTATGTAAGCATTGAAGCAACTGTCTTTCCCCTTGCTAAACAACAACTTCTACTCCTTTCTTCAAAATCTGTCAGTGGGAGTTTTCAAAAGAAACATTTATTTACAACTGTCAATGCTCCTTCACAATTTAACACATAGTGTGAGCACTCTATTTGTGAGCTTTGGCTGTGTGTTGTTAACAGTTCAATCGTATGTATGCCCTGCCTAAGATTGAGAAATCTAAATAAAGGTAGCCAATGTCCATACCCAATCTTGTAAAAACATTTAATATTAAATAAAGCAAGTAATAAAAGTAATACAGCCTAATCTCTCTGGTGAAGAAAACTGACTTAAACCCTCCATTTCTGTTAGGGATAACACAGAGGTAACCCCACTCTGTCTGCTCCTGATCTCATAAAGGTTCTATGATGTTTAAATCTGGTTACATGGGAGGCCATGCAAGGATGCTATGTTTAATAGTGTTTCTGAGACTATACTCTTTGATTTATTTAGCAGTGTTTATGGGCACATCAGGACCTTGGAAAACCGAATCATGGTTCGTGAACAGTGTCTGCACCTCCAGGGCCTATTAAAAAGTCTCTCAGAAATCAGATCTAATTACATGGCATGCCTGTTCACACCATTACAGATCCACAATATTAAACTGCTGGCAGGAGTCAAGGTAGACTAAAGGCATCCTTTGCTTTTTCCAAACATAAAGCTGCATGAGTGAAGGAAAAAGGGTGAATGGCAAGATGACTCATTTGACCAACGTTTCAGCTGAAGTAGGGGAATATGCAGAGAACAGAACAATGAGCAGACCTCTTACTGCTTATTGGCACTCCGCTTTTAACGTGACTCCTGTGTAGCCTGATTCATTTCTGTGATTTTTAAACTTCAGGGTCAGTTATGTATAATGAATACTGTTCAATTTCACTGCCAGTCATACAAGGTTATTTGTGGGGATAAAAAGTCAAGTTATTAATCTTGATAAATGGCCTTGTTTGCTTCTTTTGTGATTTAAGTTTGAGAATTTAATCATATTGCTGTGACTGATGGTGCTGAAATGTGAGTGAATGTAGACACTTCCTACTCTTTCCTGTCTACATTTGAATTACTTTCTTAACTTGACAACATATAGCAACTTCTGTCAACATCCTTAATATTTCTTGTAATGGTAATTCAATCATGTTTAATGGTTAGTGATGACATTTAGATGCAGCATGCTTTTCTGCTCACACGCAAAGTGTGATTCAAAGTGTATTGTGCAGTGTTATTATGTACATATGCAATGAAGCAACAATAGGGCAATACTAGGAACAGAGGGCAAGATTCGGAACAATTTGCAAAGGGGCAAGACTCAGTTAAGTACACCTTATTTGACCCACAAGTATATCTAACCTTAGGTGTTTTTCTCCAGCCTATTTGTATAGAAAATACATCATTTCATTGTACCCATGAGAGCTCCTCTGTAGTCTGCCATACGCCCCCACACCTCCACAGCATACATGTCTGCAAGAGTGATCAGACTATGCTACATTCCTTCCCTCATGTCCTCCAACCTGATTTAATCCAGACACAACACATCTTGTTCTTCAATGTTCCCAGCATAGTAGATGGACTGCTAGGGGAGGCATCTCGAGAAGAGAAGAGACAGGCTTGATCGAAACTATGAATGCAAAGGTGTTGTTGTCATGACATGCCTGTAAGGTGATTGTTTTACACTGTAACATGTGTTTTTTTCTCCTTTATTTAACGAGGTAATTAACCAATTGAGATCAAGATCTCTTTCAATAGGTGACCCATCATAATAAATATTACAAGAATCATGTTGGATTATGGTGATTAAAGGAAATACAGTCAGTTCTGGGTATTCAATAAGCACGTTTTAGAGTCCACAGCCATGCTGGTAGCTATGTGAGAAGTGCTTTTAGCCAATGCTAATGCATATTGACATGGTTGCAATTGCAATGCTTCCATGCAGATGTTGAGGAGATGTTATGTTAACCATGCTCAGAGTCAAACATGTTAGCAAGCTTACTGTATAAATTATATTTAGCAGAAAACAGAAAGTACTATTTAGGCATGAAATGGATGCTAATCATTTTACAGACCCTAAAAAATAGTGGACAAAGCCTGATGGCGTTCACCATACTGGTATTGCTGACTCAATTTAAATTTCTGTCAACTTAACGACGAGCAAAGAGCTGGAGTGGAGGCAGGTTTTAAGCCTCCTGACAAACAGCTATACCTTGCCGGCCCGTCAGTCGGTTCAGCTGTCCTTCAGAAAATCAAAACGGATGAGTTATCAATACATTCACTGGTCATTACCAACAGAACTATCAACCACATTTAAAAGTCACTGGGTCATCAAAAGTTTTTGTCAACACCTGTATCTGCACCAAATATTTTGGAAATCCAGCAAATGATTGTGTAGATATTGGACTTTAAATCATAATGTCAAGCTGTTGTTTGAGGAAATGTCCAGGGATCACCAGCGGTATTAAGGTTCATCGTCTTGGGATTATGATGTCTGTATAATTTAATGGCTATCTAGCAAATCGTTTTTTGAGATGTTTAAGTGTAGAACTGAGTTATGGAGCAGACAGAGAGGACCATCCCTAGAGCCATGAAGCTAGCGTGGCTAATTAAAAACTAGGAGCACTCT